TCATTGTTCAATCAATTAAGTAGTCACATCACATTGTGATGATTCATCTTAACTATTAGCCACATTTTTCATGCATATGTAAAGTAATTCTAGAACCTTGTCTTTTTCATTTTGTATTCCAAGGGCTACGCAAGCAAGTGATTATATGTTATTTAATTTCTGCCTGCAATAAGCAGTATTAAAACTGGGTCATGCGAAGAATGTGTAACATTTGTTAATACAAGTTTATTTACTTGACGTTGTTCACGTTCATTCGAGCAAATATATATATATATATAGGGCGGGCATCGTCATTGGATTAGATTGGATTAGATTGGATGTCGCTCCATCACTAGCCTACCTATCTACATTTGAATCATGCATTGCATTTGCATCATATGCCTAAAAGTTATTAGTCCAATCAAATGATGGGTTTTCTTTGCTTGCTAGGTATGCGTCTACTTTATACTTTCGTCATCAAAGATTTACGTTTGATCGATTTCCCAAACGTTGTTCACTGCAGTATATTTTATTTTATTACAAATTATCAACTATTCAATTGTTTTTAACAAACAAATCTTTTTGCAGTGGGCGACAGCATTTGCTTCTCAATTATTGTGTTCGAAACACATTCTCTGCTTGCATATTACAAATTTAAATTAAAAAATTCTTTAAAAGTTGACTGGTTCTCTCTCTCTCCTTCGTTATGCAGTTACTAGGCCGCGGGATTGGAAGCCATGAGAATGATATAAGGGGTTTGTTGCTTCTCTAACTGGACGTAGGAGACTCACCAAGAAACTCTGATCTCAACTGCATCAAAAGCCTGCCCAGATAATTTAGGCCTTCTCCATCCCGGCCTCCGCCCCAGAAAAGATCATGCGGTGAAGCTTCAACAAGAACAGATCCAGCAGTTGACAGCAACATAGAATTCAAATGTGGGTATATCGAGAACTTGCATTTTAGTGCCCTGTACATCACTTCAATCTTCACACTTTCCCAATCCGATCTTACCTGCATACATACCACACACTCAATAAGAAGTTTCAGCCAACTTGCACCATAAACTCAAAAGACATTCTAATGAGCCTTAAGCTCAAGTGGCATGGCATGAACGAGATGAGATAGAGATCTTAGGTTCAAATAATAGATGTTACTAACTTGATATCATAATATTATCTCTTTACTTTTAAGTTTCTTTAATTGAGAAATTATAAGAACCATGATTGAATGATTCACCACAGCATAGCATGCCATGACTGCATCACGTATCATGATAGTTGATACCAACTTCAAATCCAAACAAATGTGCAATGGACCATACCAAATCAGGCTGCTGCCTCTGCATTGATCTTCCTATTCGTGCTGCCTCTTCCGGACTTTTCGCAGACTTAATATTTCCAACACAATCTCGTGCCACAGGATCATCCACCCCAACAAACTTCTGAGCCTACATGTCAGTATTGTTTTGTGAGAATGACCACAGTTTTGTGAGATGGAAACCAGATCCATATAGAAAAGGGAAGTACCTGGTAGTAATGCTCTACACTCAACCAAGTGGCATAATCACCACTGGCATCAGGCATCTTAATTGCGTGCGGAGAAAAATTTGAGAATGCACCATAAGGGTCCCATGTTTTGTAGAAGAATATGATCCTTGATTCATATGGAGTGACAGTTGGATCAATTTCATAAGTTTCATCAACCGATGGAATAACAGGCGTCGCATCTGGTATGGGTTGAAGAAATCCACTTATAAGCATGTCAGGTCCAACCTGTGGTTCAAGTTTCAGAAGCATAAAATGAAAAATCCAATCAAGAGGCAGAACAAAGATATAAGCACCAGAGAATACATGGTTAGCACACAAGATTAACTAGAAAAAATTTATCTCTAGAAGAAAACTCCAAAAATCCCCACCAACCTGCTCATAGCAAACATCAATTAAATCCAACGCCTGTGACATTTCAACCATCCCAAGTTCACCTACAGGGGTTGGCGCATTCTTTCCACCAATAATCTTAGGAGCAACAAATGCGAACACCTGCAACACATTGAATTTGGCAGAGGCAAAATCCCCGTTAACAAATCCAATTCCAACAGAAAAAGAAATCTGAGATTACTTTAAAAAGGAAAATGGTAAAGCTTATGGCCAAAAAGAAGGATGGAGAATCCACCATTCACCTTCTTCTTGGATCCAGCCTAGAAGATGCAAACTATACCAACATTCCAAAGTCATCAGTTTTAAACAGACAAGAGTAGAAGATAGACAAAAATTCAAAGAGAGAAAGAGAGGATGGGGGAAAAACCTTATGTATTACTCCAGATGAAATAGCAGCTGCAGCTAATGTCCCTCCACACTCCCACAAAACAGAAAGATATCCACGATCATGAAAGTATTCCATTACTTCTCTGGGGTTTAGGATGTCAAACTCCACCACTTCAATTCCTTTAGATGCAAGAAATTTCTGGAAACGCTTTCTTGCACCCCTTTGTGTCACAACTATAGTCGATACATCAGAGAAATCCCAAAGGTTTGCCTCCTCAGGGAGATCAAGAGTCTGTGACATTACAATCCGCATGGGCATATGCCCACCTCCATGTCTCGCAGTTAGTCTTGGATCTAGTTCAAAAAGAAAGATAGAACATAATCAAGCATCTTCAGCATCTCCAACTCCAACTAGTATAAACACACATCACAAAGTTCAGAAAATGATAAAACTTACTGTCCCTGCGAACGGTATTTCCTCCCACAATGACCGCATCACTTCGACCCCGCAATTCGAAAACTCGATTTCGAGACGTCCTGCTACTGATCCATGAGGCATGTCCGCTGCTAGCAGCAATTTTTCCTGTTAGCACCCAAGGAAGACTAATGACTAGTCAATCAGCAAACTTGTTTACTTTTAAATGTTTGAGGCCTCTTTACGTATTCACATATTGTTATGTCTTACACTGTCCTTAATAGAAGAAAGAAAATAGTTGAAGTATATGAGGAAACTGAGAAAGCTCACCATCAAGGGTCATAGCATACTTGAGAACAGAGAAGGGGACTCGAGAAGCAGCTCTACAAATTAAAGGAGCATTGACAAGGAGGCATGATTTCCGAGCTTCCTGTTGGTGTTGGATTCATAATAACATGTTAATTCAATGTTGCTTGTTGCGTGCGCACAACACAATAGTTATTTCAGTTCTGAGCAGAGCAGAAGATGCCTATATTACTTACCATTGCCAAGCGGTTCAAAAGAAAAAATAAGCTAAGGTGTGTAATCTAATGAGCATACGAAATTGATTAAAGGTGGTTAATTACTGGATTAATTTATACCTCAATGAGTTTACCGCTGAGGTCCTCACCAAGAACATGAACCTGCAACCCTTCACTTCTCAAAGCCCTTATGGAATTCCCTCTCAGGTGCTGCAATGGATGCCTCAACCCGATCACCACCCTTTCAATCCCTGCCTAATCCACTTTCCATCTCATCAATCCAATCAAAATTATAATAATATTTTTTTTCTCTTTTAGGAGGGAGGGAGGAACCGAAAATGAAATGAAAGAAGAAAAAGAGAAAAATGCAACCTGAACGAGGGCAGAGACGGCAGCGTGATCTCCGTGGCAATCACCGGGCTCCATGTTGAGGTAAGCGGTGCCGCGGCGGGAGAAGTTGCCAGCTGCCTCAGCGGCAAGAACCTCGGCGGGCCTGGTACCCTGGGCGTAGAGGAAACCCTCGCCGGCGACTTTTCCGGATTGGGTGGCGATGACGCAGCCGAAGTTGGGGTGGGGAGATGTGAAACCGGCAGATTTGTCGGCCAGCTCGGTGGCTCGTCGGATGTGGACTGCATCGAGCGCGTGGGAGCAGAGAAAGTTATTGTTCTTGTTAGTATTATTACTATGGGCGGTGGTGGCGGTGGCTGCGGCAGCGGGTGTGAGGCTGCAGGAAACTCTCATAAGTGGTGAAGATAAGGCCATCAGAATTTGAGTGTATACAAGAAGAGCATAAAAATTAAGTAATTAAATAAAAATGTAGGGTATATTATTGCTATAGATCATATCGCCATAGATGAAATGAGATGTGACTGACAGACGCTCATCTTCAACTTCAACCTATCTCGAGTCTTCGTCGGAAGGAGAGGAGAGGATGACTGACAGCGCTAACTTTCCTATGGATCTATTTATTTTTCCTTGTTTTTTTTTCAAAAGAATTGGGCCTTTTGGATGGTCCTTTGGTTAAAAATGAAATAGATTTGGGCCTTTTGGTTTCTGCTGCAATTTGCACATCATCTGACTCTCAACCTAAAAATATCTACCACCGAAAAGTCGAGAGTGTTTATGATCCATTTGAGCATTTTATTTGAGTTTAAATTACCAAATCCCTCCCTCCATAGTTGCGTGCTACAACATGCTTCATCCAGAAATTAGGTCGAAACTAAGTAATTAAATAAAAATGTAGGGTATATTATTGCTATAGATCATATCGCCATAGATGAAATGAGATGTGACTGACAGACGCTCATCTTCAACTTCAACCTATCTCGAGTCTTCGTCGGAAGGAGAGGAGAGGATGACTGACAGCGCTAACTTTCCTATGGATCTATTTATTTTTCCTTGTTTTTTTTTCAAAAGAATTGGGCCTTTTGGATGGTCCTTTGGTTAAAAATGAAATAGATTTGGGCCTTTTGGTTTCTGCTGCAATTTGCACATCATCTGACCCTCAACCTAAAAATATCTACCACCGAAAAGTCGAGAGTGTTTATGATCCATTTGAGCATTTTATTTGAGTTTTAATTACCAAATCCCTCCCTCCATCCAGAAATTAGGTCGAAACCATTTCCTTTGATTTCTTTCCATTCCAATTATATATGGAAAAGGGAAATTAAGGAAATATCACTGAGCCATTGAGCATGTAAAAAACATACAGCAACTACCTGGCGGGGAAGAACGCCACCAAAGTTTAAAGTAAAACAAAGCATCAAATTATTCATAACGTAAATATTATCCTCATAACATCATTCATCATCATCATCATCAACAAAAACATTCAATCAACAAAGACACAAGTAGGTAGATAGGTAGGTTATAGAATATTTTTATGAGTCGATAATCTCGGAGAACGGATAAGATTGATAGTAAAGAAGAGGCTCCCAACAGGCATTGCAGTGATCAGTAACATCATCAGCTGGCTGCTGGTGCATCTATTCCTCCTCTTCTGCCTCCTCCAGCCAGTTCACAAATGGCTCCAGAGCCTTCACAAAAGTTTGCCTGCAAAACATTTTCCAATATTTTTATACATTACAATTATGAATTTACAACGCACCCAATATTAACTAATACTCGGCCAACTGAACTGAACTGGGAAACCATGCGTACATACCTCCCCTTGGGGTTTGTTCCTCGGCGGAACCAATGGAGAATGGTGTCTTCTGCAAGCACATCCTGGTCATAGAGGGACCTCACAATTTCAGGAAACAGCTTCATCAGCTTAGCATCCTCATAGCACTGCATTTGGACTTTGTAAATCAGTTCCAGCTCCAGCTTCCCATTGGTGCAGAAGGTATTCAACAGTTCTGCCCATGTTTTCACCTGTACATTGTAGCAAGCCACTGTTAGACACAAATTTCAAGCCTTCATTTTATTGAAACACAACAATAGCTCTAACCAGACCACTTAAAACTCATATCTTCCTCCTTTTTGTCAGGGCTTAACCTCAGCATTTACAGAGCACAATAATTATGTAGGTATATCAATTACTTTATAAATCTAAGACTCAGGCATACCTGGCGAAGAGCTGCATTGGCGTTCTGCTGCTGGTTCTTACCAGACCACTGCACTGCATCCATAATGACATCCCACAGAATCCGCACAACCTCAACATCTGGCAATTTAGCATCTTTAACACGCTGCTTCACAGTTTCTATCACTTCAGACATATCAGTTTCTTCTGTTATCTGGGTTGTTAATGCCGATTTCATTTCCTTAAGCTTCACCTCGAAAATTTTCTTTTCATTGTATTCAACTAAGGCTACTAGCCCTTCCTTGCTGAAAATTGGCATGAACAAATGTCGAATTAGGTGTCAATAAAACAATTTTAACACAATGAATGTTAAAGTTATCACATGCTTTACTTGAAACCCATTACTGAGCAATTGATAAATAGAAATCAAATGAGCATTTATTGATCGGTTAGGCTATCATCAAATTTTATGGCAACTAAAACTTAGAAGTTTCCTGAGTAAATCAACTAAAACTATAATGCATTCATAGTCTGTGAGTAAATCAACTAAAACTATGATGCAAATAGAAACTGAAATGACATAATCAAATGAGCATTCATAGTCTGTGAGTGTTCATTCCTGGCTATCATCAAATAAGCACTTATAGTCTCTGAGTAAATCAACTAAAACTATAACACAATGAGGCGCCAAAATAAATAAAGAATTTTATGGCAACTATTCAGGAATTACAGCTACCTCAGATTCATGAAAATAGCATCTATAGACTATCAAATGCTTCAGCAACAGATTTATAAAAATGAAAATGACTATCTCAAAAGATGGTCCATAATAGCATTTGCTAATCAGTAACAGCTAAAACTTACGTGAAATGCTCAGAGAAACTCTCATCAGACCGCTTTGTGGATGGGAAGAACTCCAGAAGATTGTCCTCCACTTTACCCCGCTTCAGAATGGAGATCAGATCATCAAGGCTGTTATCAATGAGATACTCTTTGAAGAAGTCAGTAATAAATGATAGAACTAGCCCTTTCCCAACAAGATTATCCTTGAGCATAGGCTGGAACACGGTTTCGGGTGGAAGTCCCGATAGCTTCTGAGAGAATGCAAGCGCTGTGAAAATTGCCAACTTCTTCCTTTCGTTTTCCTCAAAAAGCTCCAATGACTGAAGGAATCGTCGCATAACATTTTCGAGATTCTTTATCAGAAATGGCCTCCGCCTCAAAATTTTTTGTATGTAGATAACAGATGGTAAGATGACTTCACGTGTAGCCTCACTCTCTAGTACAGAGTAAGGGTGGCGCTCCCCCTCATCAGGTTTTGTTGTTCCAGGTTGTGTACGGCCTCCAGTGAAAACAACCTGCAGTTGTGCAACAAATTAAGATCTTTGACCCATTTTAACCCATTATGTGCTCAATACAGGGAAAAGTTGGAAAATTATTGGAATCATAGAAAACCAAAAAACTAAATATGCCCATTGCAAGGAGGAGAAAGAAACTATCAAGACATGTAAAACTACAAACAGAATAAGAAGGATAGATATCGAGCACCGGATATTTGGCCTTATCAATCAAGACTATGGTCTTAAGCTCTGAATATATTAAAAAATTAAGCTTTAAAGTTCATTGAATGTTGTTTTCATACTCTCAGAGTCTTGCATTGTTGCTAGTTCAAGATTATAGACCTCTGAAGTTCATCAAACTGTTCCTTCCATTAGAACTTATTTTTCAATAGACAGTTTTTTCTTTTAAACGTTCAAAATAAAGCTCACATTCAAAACTGCACAGACAAGAAGAATCAAAACCATACCACATTATAAACAGCACAGCTATTATATTTCCTACATGAGAAATTCATGTACTGGTAATAAAAAGGAAATTGATGCACTGGTTGCAAAATTTTGAAGAGCCAAGGTTGCATCCTAGGCAAAAGTAAAAGAGAGACAAATTTTACTCTTTGAAAAATCATGACCAAGTCTCTACAGTATTATGAAGCTTACCTCAAAAAAAGTGTCACCGTATCTTGAGAAGTTAAGGTCTGAAGATTCAATGCACTTGGCAATAAGTTCCTGCACAAAAACTTGTTTAGTTTTAACAGATGATCAAGTGATAAAGTGCATAAATGCATACACTACAATTTAGACGATCATCAATTTTTAGCCAACTACCAGATCACCAGCATTATCCAGATAAATCTGGACCACTGCATCCGCGAAAGCTGCAGGGTCCAGCGGCGCTGCAATATTCCGTTTGCGGGTCTTAATCCGCGTGCCACTGAACATATAGGGGAAAAAAGTCAATATACATGTGATAAACATTTCAAATTAATGATGTAAAAGATTATGCAAAGATGCACTGATAGATCCAAATCTCTATGCCATAGATCTTCAATTCCCATAACATATTTCCCTTGTTAGAATTGATGAATTAATCAGAACCTCAAATAACTACATTTCAAGCATTATCAATTTCATTTTCTTAAGCCTAAGGAAGCAACTCAGTAGACTAAGTTTTACCATCATTCTAAAAGAGTACATGTGACAATTTGTTTTGTTAAGTCAAAGGTTGATAAGGCTGACATGTAAGAGTAAAGCATTTCTCAGGAATACAAAGAGTAAATAAAATGAGAAATAAAAGACAAAAAGACTTACCCGAGAGTGGGTCTCTCCTTCGAGCTGCAGGCGCAAAACACAATCAATTTCAATCAGTATGTATCTAACGGTTATGCTAAGCTAATGATTTAACTTCCACAACACAAATAAAGTTTATTAAACCAGTAAGAAGAATACAATTGTACCAATGATGCACGAAATCTGAAAAGGGAAAAAAAAGAAGAGCCTTTTTGGATAAAGTAAATATACCCAATTATAAGGGTCTCAGTGAAACTGAATTATATGTTGGCCAAGAAATGTGAAAGATGAAGAGGAGAGACCTCCCCCCCCCCAAAAAAAGAGAGGAAAAGCTTCATACTTTAACCATAACTTACATCCAAATTCAAAAAACCACACGAAACTGGAATGAAAAAGAAACAGAAAAACAAGAATAGACCTTCATAATTGTCCTGTCTTCAGCTAGAATTAAATTTCAAATAACGAAAAAACGCCCATTTTTGTTTAAATCCAGAAAGGTCCAAATAATAAAGTAAATCTAAGAGAAACAGATAGCAAATAAGCGAAAAGATAGAACAATAACAGAAAGGAAGGGTAAGAACCCACCATAAGCAAAACCCACCAAGAGAATGCAACCTAAACGAAGGATTCAATTAAAGAAACGATATTTTCGTAAAAACACTTGAAAGAATCCACCTTTATGGTAAACAACCAGATCTGTGACCCATAACGTATAATCTTTTTGACAAAAAGTATAATCTAAAACATAGAGATCACACAGCAAGGTAGGAAACAAAGATCGAGAAAGATAGAGACAAAAAGCTACCTCATAAACCAAGACGAAGAGGGATCGGAGGGCGGTGAGGCAGACTCTGAGCGTCGAGAGCTTTTTTTGATGAGAGAGAGAGAGAGAGAAATAGAGAGACAAGGAGGAAAGGGTATAGAGGAGGAGGGGTGTGGTGGTTTGGACACTGATATTTATTAGAGAGAGAAAGAGAAGTAAAAGTAAATAAACAAAACGCAGACGCAAATTACACGCACTTCTTCAACTACAAGACCGCCAGGTTACAACGTAGAACCCTATTTTTGGGGTTGAATGGATTTCTCGTTTTACCTCTGTAATTTATTTTTTGGTATTATCTTTATTCTTTTTTGTTCGTTTTCAATATTTTTCTCTTTCGTTTTTTCTTTTTTTCTTTTTTTCATTTTGAGTAACAGACGATAGCTTCTTTTCTTTTTTATATTGGCTTACAAATTTTTTCCTTTTAAGTAAGTTATTTTCATATTTTTCATACAAATTCACCGACCCCTTTCATCATTAAACAACAGGCAATGCACAATTTTGTGTATGTTTCATTTCATAGTTGTTTTTTGGCTTTACGACTCATTAGCATGTACGTTATTATTTTCCTACTAATAGTGGGTCAACTGGCAAGTTGGTTTACTTTGGTTTTTTCATCGGCGGTATTATGTGCGTTGCGTGCTTCAACTCTAGTTAGAATCTACAAAACATAAAATAAAAATGGGTCAAAATTTTTGGAGTTGATAATTCTAGTTTTATCTTAGTTTTTAATAAACAAATACATAGATCAAAATTTCGCTTGTCAAAATCATATCCTTTAAGTCAGATGGTGGGGCTCATTTGGGACTGTTTTTTCATAAAGTACTTTTATTTATAAGCGCTTCTAATAAAAGCATTTTTGTTATATAAAAAATCCAACTCCCAAACGAGCCCTAATAGGGGGTCAACTGGCAAGTTGGTTTACTTTTGTTTTTTCATCGGCGGTATTATGTGCGTTGCGTGCTTCAACTCTAGTTAGAATCTACAAAACATAAAATAAAAATGGGTCGAAATTTTTGGAGTTGATAATTCTAGTTTTATCTTAGTTTTTAATAAACAAATACATAGATCAAAATTTCGCTTGTCAAAATCATATCCTTTAAGTCAGATGGTGGGGCTCATTTGGGACTGTTTTTTCATAAAGTACTTTTATTTATAAGCGCTTCTAATAAAAGCATTTTTGTTATATAAAAAATCCAAGTGCTTATCCAGTAAGCACTTCTATGACTCAGAAGCGCTTCGAAACTTTTCTGTCAAACACTATCAAAATCGCTTTTAGTTATAAGAAATCGTTATTAACCCTTTCAAAAACATTCCCTAATAATCTTCAAATCAAAGTATATATTATTAGTAGTCGAACATCTAATCAAAAGATTGTGGCAGAACATTAAATTACCAACTAGATGAAAAAGGCCCGTTGACCACCGCCCCTCTAATTTTCTCGTTTTTTCTTTTTTTCTTTTTTTCATTTTGAGTAACAGACGATAGCTTCTTTTCTTTTTTATATTGGCTTACAAATTTTTTCCTTTTAAGTAAGTTATTTTCATATTTTTCATACAAATTCACCGACCCCTTTCATCATTAAACAACAGGCAATGCACAATTTTGTGTATGTTTCATTTCATAGTTGTTTTTTGGCTTTACGACTCATTAGCATGTACGTTATTATTTTCCTACTAAGGGTGGGTCAACTGGCAAGTTGGTTTACTTTGGTTTTTTCATCGGCGGTATTATGTGCGTTGCGTGCTTCAACTCTAGTTAGAATCTACAAAACATAAAATAAAAATGGGTCAAAATTTTTGGAGTTGATAATTCTAGTTTTATCTTAGTTTTTAATAAACAAATACATAGATCAAAATTTCGCTTGTCAAAATCATATCCTTTAAGTCAGATGGTGGGGCTCATTTGGGACTGTTTTTTCATAAAGTACTTTTATTCATAAGCGCTTCTAATAAAAGCATTTTTGTTATATAAAAAATCCAAGTGCTTATCCAGTAAGCACTTCTATGACTCAGAAGCGCTTCGAAACTTTTCTGTCAAACACTATCAAAATCGCTTTTAGTTATAAGAAATCGTTATTAACCCTTTCAAAAACATTCCCTAATAATCTTCAAATCAAAGTATATATTATTAGTAGTCGAACATCTAATCAAAAGATTGTGGCAGAACATTAAATTACCAACTAGATGAAAAAGGCCCGTTGACCACCGCCCCTCTAATTTTCTTTTTACTTATTCTGGCCCATTTGGCCCCTTTTTTATCATCGACGTCAGCAACCTCAATCACTTTCACTTGAAGGTTGGTAAAATCATGTGACCCGAAACAAAACTTCAAAAAAATGAAATTCATGTGACCTAAAACAAAAGGAAAGCCAGGATCGTAGGGTCTGTCTGTTAGATCACTTCCATTTGTTTGTTCTGACAAAAGATAAGAAGAGACAAGACTGTTACTATTCACATAAATAGTGTCTACTCTTTCAATTTTTTTTATTGATTTTTCACTCATTGCCATGGTAATCGAAGAGCAATTACTATTCACATGAGATATGAGGAGAGGAATTTGTATAGAATTTTGGTGTGGGAAATGAAGAATATGGCTAGGTATTTATTACAAAAATAAAAATAAAAACTTATGAAATTTATGGTATTTTTTTCCTTTTTTTTTGTTATTTAAATTGGTTGTTAACGTCATCATAATGACATCAGCATTAAGTCAGCTTGCCTAAGCAAGTCTTGTCTTTGGGTTTGCCCAGGCTGATGGAGCCCACTCCTTACCGGGGCTAGCCTTCACTGCTAGACTTCGTATTTGGGGATCGGAGGGCCTTCTGCCTGTCCTGGCATGCACGGGTGGAACTGCTCTTAGTGACATGGAAGAATGGAGACGGCACATGGCAGAAGTCATCTAATCTGAGCCAACGTCAATGGTAATGCAGATCTAAAGGAGCTATGCGATCACAAAATAATGGACAAGGGTTTTGACAATTGACACCGCTTCCTGTTTACTTATTTTGAGTTTTTGATTTGATAGAGTCCTTATTAAAAATTGGTCCAATTTTTGGGAGGACAAGGTTACTAGGCCAATCAATCCCATCCTTCTTTTTTTCTCAAAAGGCAAAGGCAGGGGCAGAGAAGATGCTACTTTTCCCCCAATTGGTTGGATGAGAGGGGGTAAAGAAAAACACACAAACTAATTTTTAATCCTCTCTAGGCTAACATCAACCTCCAAATACCCACCCATATTATATATACGAGCACTAATGATTCTTTTCTCTCTTTCTTTTGGATCCCAAAAAATCACTAATGCTTCAATTCAAAGTTGTCTAGTATCTATCTATAGGAAAAGAAAAGGTTGTCTTTTACCTGTGCTCAATTATGTCCACTACCAACTCCGACTTCAGCTCCTCAAATCTTAATTCTGTCTATCCACTTTGAAGAAAAGCTCCTACTCAGCCAATTCCAACTTTTTCTAACTCTTCCCAGCTTAGGTTCAATGTATCCAATTAGGACGATTTGAAAGTGACCGGAACACTGTCAGTGAGGTGACAAATCAGAACTAACAAGGACAGAGTAGATCCAATCACTTTTGATGTTTTATGTCTAGTTACTAGTTACATTCATCCAGAAGAATGTCCAAGTAACTCCAAAAAGAAAATTATAAATTATGCTGGAATTTACCAACTTGACTTTCACATCAGTGGTAAAATGATCACCCAGCAGTACCATCAAGAATTTTGTTTATGCTCCTGACTAACAGAAGCTAAATAATTTTTCAATTGATCCACCCAAAATTATTAAACAAAACAAAGTCAATTGAAAAATTAAGCAAAATTATAAATCTCTTAACTGTTCTGTAGGCTGTATACAAAAAAAGAAGACACTGTATGATTCTGTTTCCAAAGGTTGTTTGCTCAAGTCTATCTGAACTCAAACAATCAATTTGACAGAACAAAAGAAAATTTGGTCACCAGGAGACAACCCTTCCTTCTACATAATCACTCTTGTAGAACCATGACTTTGGTGCACAAGGAAAGGAGAAATGAAGAATATACACAACTATGAGCAGTCAACTCGTTAATGCATATACTTGATTGACCAATTCCATTCATAATCACAATTAACAATGGAAGGAGACCCGAAAATGGAACTTGAAGCACCAAAAGTTCAACTTCTACAACTGATCTAAACATATCATATTCAAAATATTGGCCAGCTCTAAATTTTTTTGCCAAAGATTATCTATTTAAGCTCCCCACTTCATTGACTTGCCATAAAATTGACAGGAAGCTCACATAGAAGCATGGAAAACTGGAAGCTCCAACGGGAGCAAACGCTGGGTAGGAAGTTGGAGCAAACGCTCGATAGATGTTTGTATAATGCTCCAGAAAATGTTATCTTATATATCCTTTGAAAGTTTTGATAAGCAACTTGAGTAGGAAGTTGGAAGCATCATCAGTTCTTCTAATAAGTCACTCAAAATTCACCTTGTCTAACACCAACCCCCCATTAGGCAACGCAACAACAATAAATTGTTATGAAGCATCTCAAAACATTCAAATCAACGCCCATTACTATATCAGCAAGTTCATTTGTACCAGCAGAAAAACACGTAATACAGTAAAAACTTCAAAATGGGGTCAAAATGGTATCACTGAGAACATTCATCAAACACATTTCACACACTTGTCCGAAAGCCATAAACCCATTTCTCCAAACGCAAAAATAAACAACAAAGTTTAAGAAATTAACAAAAACACAAAATAGAAAACTGGGATTGATGTCAAACCTATGGTTTCTCTTCTCGAATCAGTTCAGAGGACTGAGGCGAAGTGTCCACCAAGAGTGTCTCTGTGTCGGTGGCAGTGTTGTGTTGTTGTTGTTGTTGCTGCTGCTCAGCATTCATAAGGTTCTCCATGTCTCTCACCCTCGTCCTCACCACACTTGTAACCAGTACTAGAAGAAAAACGTATCCAATCCAATTATGAATATGAATAAGAATGTATGTATGTATGTGAAATTAGAGATGGAGAAAGCGGAGAGAGAGTACCAGCGGCGGTGCCAAGGGTCCAGACCCAGAGAATCTTTAAGCCGGGGCTCAACTCTCTTGCCATTGTTTCTTCTATTCTATTCTATTTATGTTCCTCTTCGTGCATTTGATCTGCTCTGCTTGCTTCAACTCTATTTTGCAAACTGTGTGTTTGTGTTAGTGTGATGGCACAACACAACACATAAAAACACATACAAACACAACACACAAGTTTGCTCGTGTTCGCGTTTCGTCTTGCAAAGTCGGGTTTTACTCTAAAATCCGGTTTGCTTGCAAGTATTGTAGGCCCAGCCCAACCTTCGAGTTTGTGTTAGAATTTGGATCGTGTTTCTTTGGTCTGGTCCGTTAGAGTTTGGGCCGAAAGGTCCTCCTTACAAGTATAAATAAATAAATAAATATATATATATATATATATATATATATATATAGAAGAATATGAAATATAGATAATAGGCAGACACATATCAACTGATTATTACTAAACGATTGGAACAACAATGACGTACTTGTAACTCAAGTTGTTAATAGCATTTTACTCCTCTCTGTATCTTAGATAGAACATATATTATTGGTTCTTTAATATCGTTGATACTGCTAAGAGAAAAAGGAAGAATGGTTGAAGAATCAAGTTTTTCTAACTTGTGGGATCTTATTATTGTTTTGTTTTGCTCTCCTCAATATTGAATTCCCAATTGTAAATGTATACAACTTGGGCGTATTTGACTTGAGCCAGGATGACAAGGTTGACTAGGGAGATCCCCGTGTAGTGGGTTGGTGGGAGGGCTTGCTTGCTAGGCTGGTGTTAGCTATTTTTTATTTTTTATTTTTTCCTGATTGATTATTATTATTACTATTTTTATATATAACGTATACGTTATACGGCCATTATGATTAAATTATCAAATAACCGATAATACTCTCTATTTTCTTAACACACTTAATCAAGCAATGACAACTTGATACTGCTAAGAGAAAAAGGAAGAATGGTTGAAGAATCAAGTTTTTCTAACTTGTGGGATCTTATTATTGTTTTGTTTTGCTCTCCTCAATATTGAATTCCCAATTGTAAATGTATACAACTTGGGCGTATTTGACTTGAGCCAGGATGACAAGGTTGACTAGGGAGATCCCCGTGTAGTGGGTTGGTGGGAGGGCTTGCTTGCTAGGCTGGTGTTAGCTATTTTTTATTTTTTATTTTTTCCTGATTGATTATTATTATTACTATTTTTATATATAACGTATACGTTATACGGCCATTATGATTAAATTTTCAAATAAGATTAAAATTGTCCTTTTTTATAAAATAAAATAAAAAGAATTGAAAACACAAAAGAAAACAATAAACCTAACCGCATATAGCGGCTGAATAAAGTAAAATTGAAGTCTATGTATGAAAAGAAGGAGATTGTTCATAACGTCCCAACAACACAACATATATATGAATATGGTAGATAAAATAATTAATGTTTGATAAAGTAGTAGTACGGAGGAGGGGAGAGCAGAGTAGTCAAAGGTAAGCTGGTTGGGTCAATGTTGTCCAACTCCAAAACTGCATACGTTTGACTTAAGCTGATACTAGTGTGGTGTAATTTGTAAATACTAATACTAATAGGGATAGAGAAGAGATCACTCCAGCCAGCCGGGGGAGTGGAGGTAGTTGGTGACGGTTTTGATTATTTAATTTTGATTAATTAATGTTGGGCAAGTAAATGTAACACGTTTCGCAATTTTCTTCAGTTGTTTAAGTGCGGCAGACCTATCATTTTATCATAGCCTTTCTTTTAGGGAGCTGATTTCCCAAGGGGTGGGCATCTAAAACCGAAATACCGAAACCGTACCATACCTATTTCATACCGTTTCATTTGGGATGGGGAGATATTCGGTACCGTACCGTACCGAATAGTACTGAAATATAATTTATTTATTTTCATTCTCTTGCTGTCTCTCACTTGCCTCTTAATTTATTCATAACTTTCTGTTTTTGTCATTTATGTTTGGATTGTGTTTGTAATTTTGTAAGTCATAAGGCATAATTTTAACTATTTTGGTTTGTAAGCCATAAGGCATGAGTTTTAACCATTTGGATTTGATGAATCTGTTGATGGATAAATATTGATTTGGTTGATTTGGATATTGAATATGTTGATTAGGATTAGGATTTTGAATATGTTGAATCTTTGAATTTGTAACTTAGGCATCACTTATTTTGGTGAATGAATATGTTGAATATTGCATTGGTTCATTTTTTAGTTGTGTCATTTTGGTACCGAAATTGTACCGATACCGTATTGATACCGATTTAGCACGGTACGGTACGGTACCAATTTTGACAAACGATAATCCCATACCGTACCATACCGATTTAAATTTCCAGTATCGGTAGTGGTACGGGCTCAATATCGTACCATACCGTACCGTGCCCACCCCTAGATTTCCACATTTCCATTTTTTCCACTTACACTTCCTTTCGCTTTTTAATATTTTTTTAATTAATTTTGTTCTTTCTCTTTCTTATTCTATTCTTACCCTACATTAATTTATTTTTTACTTCACTTTTATAGTATTTCTTTTTCTTTATACTTAATTTTCCAACTTACACTCCATTTTCAGTATTAAGGGGAAGAAAAAAAAACTTAATTTCTTACTTGATTAAAGGAAAAAAAATACTGAAAAATTGAGTACAAGTTGGAAAATTAAGTATAAAGAAATAGAACTAATATAAAAATGAAGAATGTAGGGTAAGGGTAGAATATGAAAGAGAATGAACAAAATTGATTAAAAAGCATTAAAAAGCAAAAGGGAATGTAAGTAGATAAAATGGGAGTGGGGAAAACTCACCTCTAACCATGCTTTCTATCTAACTCTTAAAATATGGAGACATATAGGAGCTAATAAATATGAGGAGAGAGAAAGGACTCCTAGTGGCTCCCTATAATTAAATGCTATTTTAAGTATTTATTTAATGCTAACTATTTATTATTATAATTTTATATAAAGATGGAGCATTTATTCTTAACTAAAAAAAGAAATAAATTATTAATAATTTCTTAAACTAGGGACCATGATTGTGGATGTTGTTATACTATACTATTTGAATTTTATCAATTATTTTCTTAATATTTATGATATAACTTTCCAAAATTATAAAAAAGGAGCATAAAATATTTCCTTTGAAATTTTATACCAAAACTGATAAACTACTCTTAAATCATAAAATAAACCAAGGTCACACAAAGATAGCTTTTTTCCCCCAAAAAGAAGAAAATAACAAAATAGTAGGAAATCCAATTACCATATGTGCCACAATCATCCAAATACCATGAATTTATCACAACAATCATTTATTCCCCTGAGCAAGTGGGCTGCCATATGCATGTATATTATCTTCCAAGTGCATTATATATATCGTAGATATATTTGCCACTCAGTATTTTTTTCTTCCAAATATAAAAAAATGGTTTAACTTTTACAACTACTACTTTATAAAGGTAGCTAGTTCAACAACAACAACAAAATGGGTAGTTCATTAATAAGTGATCAATTATAAAGGATGAGCTGTAAACTCAAACATTGATTAAACTTAATTTGTTTATGATCCAATTTAAAACTACACGAAAATCAATTCTATAATTATATATTTATATTTAAGAAAAGGAATAGACGTAACAAAACGAAAGTGGAATAATAGATTAGAGATTTCATCCTTTTATTTAAGAATAGAGCGAGAATCGAACCTTAACGGGGCTAACTATGATGTATTTAAATTGAAATACAGAGCATAAGGAGTTGAATCCAATTACCAAGTATAAAATATAGAGTGCTGCTAAACGAACCCTAAAATTAACTGAGTACACTCTACTGTCAAACTATTTATTGAATTACAAATTTAACCTAATATAAAATGACCAAAAAGGAAACACAAATAAAGAAAATCTAATTTCTGGTTAAGAAGAAGAAGAATTAGTTCGGACTCGTGTGTTCAATCTAGCGAGGGCACTATATTGCGAACCACTTTTCAACCTCTCTAAATAAGCAGAGCGAGTGAGGGGTTTTGTTTACTGTTGGACTATATAATCTCATTTAAGTTAGTCCCTTACCTCACCAAACATGGGTTTCAAGTACTATTTAAGCTAGTCCAGTCCAGTGAGGCTTGCCAAACACAGCCTTAAGTGTTTTGTGTCCATAAAAGTCCATGCCTATAAATCCCAAATTTAAGGCTCATCGTGCAATTACGACTGGATCTGTGCAAGTTACTCTATTATTATTTGAATTTAAAAACTCTTCCAACATTCGAAAATAAACTAAAATAAATTATAGGTTTTTACAAATAAGCCCATTTTAGCACGACATATTATACAAAAACTCATACATAACTTATTTGGAGAGAAAATCCAAAAACTAGCTACTTATTATTTTCTAATTGGTTCTCAGAAAATTCTAACACACTAAGAACCAATTAGAAAATAACAAGTGGCTAGTTTTGAGTTTTTCTCTACAAATAAGCTCATTATAAATTTTTGTATAATATGTCATATTGAAATGAATCTACTAGTCTCATTCCTTAAGAGAGGTCAGTGGTTCGATCCCTGCTCTCGTACGGAGTCACCACTTTGGCCAACACTTTACCCCTTACGGGTCGACCCGGTGTGAGTGGGGATTAGTCTGGATTGTGGTTAAGGCTTAAAGGTGCCACCCATAGTTGGGGCCGATCCAGGACTACCTCATGGTTTAAACAAAAAATAAAATAAAATTGTCTACCTACTATTCCGTTTGATTTGAGTATTTGATTCTTGGACGGTGGAGGGGGAGGGAGGGAGGGAGGGGAATAGCAAAATAAAATTGATAAAAAGTCAGGCGGAGATTGCTATATATTATTATTCGGTATCCTAATGACTCTCACCACAGGAGCAGGCCTTCTTAACACCGCAGCCAGACTCTCCTTCTTCCCCAAATCTCACCATCATTATCCTCTTCTCTTTTCAAATTCTCCTTCTCTCCGGTTCTCACCAACCTCTCTCATCTCCAGCCCCACGTCCTTCGCTTCTCTACCTGCCAGGCTATCTCTGTCTTTTCACGCCTCCACCATGGCCGACGCTCCTGATGCAGGCATGGATGCCGTCCAGCGCCGCCTCATGTTTGAAGACGAGTAAGTCCCCACTTTGCCCCTGCCTTTTACTCCTATTCACGCTTTTACCGTTCCGTTTCTTTTCACTTCTTACTTGTTACTTTTACTTATTCCTCTTCTGGTTGGTTTGGTTGATCTGTTTCCTGCCTTATTTGTCTTGTGCTCTGTTTTTGCTGCTGATAAAGTGCTGGAACACTAAACCAAATGAAATCATAGGCCTTCCTCTGTTTTGCTGTTATATATGTTTTATTTGCTTATTTTTCTTTTCTTTCTTTTCCTTTTGATTCATCTGGAATAATTAATCACCACAACACATGATCTTGAGCTCTTTTTTCTTTTCCTTTTTCCAATTCCTCCAGTTTCTAAGTAACCAAACAGAGCCAACAGGAAGAACCTAATTATATATATATATATAAAAAGCGGATGGGTGTCTAGCTCAAGCTCATGAGCCAAAGATACCTAACATCGAGCTCATCTGATCGCAAATCCTGGCTTGAATAAGAATCAAGCGAGCTGGAGATGATGAGATGAAACTTTTTGCACTTGGCCACTGGAGTAATCAAAAGAACTTCTCCTTCAATTGTTGCCATGCTGAGAACGCCATCATTAATTATGTCCTTTTGATAAGTTAACTAATAAGTCACATTATACAATCAATCAAATAAGCAAAATACATTATGCAAACGTAAATTGTCACTTCCTTTTCTTTGGCTATACAAGATGCGGTTTGCACTTTTCTTTGGAAACAATGTTCATGGCATAATGTACTGTGCATGAGTGGTCTTTATCAAATTTTTGTTTACTTTAATTGCAGCATCGTTGCTTTGAAGGTAGAAATACGATATCCATTTTATCATTGTATTTTTCTAGTCTGGATGACTTGATTTTCAGGTCTTGGTCATTTTGTTGAAATGGTGGATGAAAAATGCTCCACTCTTTATTTATACAAAAGTTATTATTAGAAAAAAAAGGGGCAACTCCCCGCTCTGAACGTAAGGTAGCTCTGCCACCGAACTCCTTCTAAGAACGTCAATGCTATACATCCAATGAGTGCTGCCTGTCCTTTCCGATTTTATCCTTTGGAATTCAGCCCGATGTATATTCAAGTGTTAGTCATTTCCTGGAGCTGACAATCTATTTTACTCAAAATTTCTGCAGATGTATTCTGGTGGATGAGAATGATCATGTTGTTGGTCATGATACCAAATACAACTGTAAGTAATATTCTTTCCTATTTTATTTCACTGCCTAAAGAAAACCTGTAGTTAAAGATTAGATTTTGTTGACGCTTAGGGCTAGTTTGGCATTGCTTTGCTGTGAAAATAATCGTTGTCAGATTTGCTGTGAGAGATATCATATGTGATAAAAAGCCGTTTGGCGTTTGGTAAACTTTTTGTTAAAAAGTGTTGTTAGTACTGATCCCCACATAATCATAAAATGATTCCTGCATAATCATTAAACCCATCACCTCTTCGAAACTGATTCCTTCATAATCAGAAAATGAAAGCACCTCATTAGCTTCTTTCCCTAATAGCTTTCTCTCACAACAATTTTTAACAATAAGTGATTTTCTCATAGTTTACCAAACGGGCTAGGCTTCCCAATTTTTTTTTAAAATCACTTATCACCCCAAATAAGCAATGCCAAACGGGCACTTAGGATAGGAAAGGGGGAAAGAGAATTTTGTGCTGGATCAAATGTTTGGATCAGAATGCTAGATTGGATTTTATCCACATTCTAGTATATAATAATGCCTGAATCTCTGTTGTTGATACAACTGTTGTGTTCTTTCTTGTAGCACTGTTTGTTGGTTTCTTAATTTGCAATGCTTCCTTGAACCATAGGTCACTTGATGGAAAAGATTGAATCTGAAAATTTACTTCACAGAGCTTTCAGCGTCTTTTTGTTCAACTCAAAGAATGAGTTGCTTCTTCAGGTATATTGCTTGGATCATGCTAACTGCTAGCAAACAGGCTTTTAATATTTTGATTAGATCTTGTGAACCTATCATGGCTGTTCAGAGATTATAATTTGTAGCACGGATGGAGATTATACCTAGTTGTGTGTTTTAACATTTGAACTTTGAGACCTCTGGGGACCTGAAGTTTAACTAGTTGTGTGAATTAATGTTTGAAATTTGAGACAAAGGGGTTGGGGTTAAACCTGAAATTTACAGTTGTGGCAGCCTTCAGTTGAGAGTGGTCATTTGTAAGATGTTCCATACTAGTCGGGTGCCACATCTTGAAAGCTAATAATTGAATATGAAGGGTAAACGATTCTATTTTACAACTGGTGGTGGCATTGATCACTGATTTCATTTTTCTGGGCAGTTTTTGTTTATAAACATTTGTAAATATGGTGGGTGACATACTCATTTTTGTCTGTCTTTTTCTGCAGCAACGTTCTGCAACAAAGGTGACATTCCCACTTGTGTGGACAAACACCTGTTGTAGCCATCCACTGTACCGTGAATCTGAGCTTATTGATGAGAATTCTCTTGGTATATTTATCTACGTACCTCTATTACATTTGAGAGTCAACTTTACTTGTTCTACTGTGATTTTCTCTTAACTCTTTTTTTTTTCTCTCCATTTTGGTTCCAGGGGTAAGAAATGCTGCTCAAAGGAAGCTTTTGGATGAATTGGGTATCCCTGCTGAAGATGTGCCGGTTGATCAGTTCATCCCTTTGGGTCGGATTTTGTACAAGGCACCCTCTGACGGCAAGTGGGGAGAACACGAACGTAATATTCCAACTTTGGTTGACTGTACCTTGTTTTTGTTTAACACTCTAAATGAGGTGCCTTGTTTCAAAACTGTCATGTTCAACCTTAGTGTTTTCTTCTTTTCTTGTTTGCAGTGGATTACCTTCTCTTCACCGTCCGAGATGTCAATGTGCATCCAAACCCTGACGAAGTAGCTGATATCAAATACGTAAATCAGGAGCAGCTGAAGGAGCTGCTGAGGAAGGCAGATGCTGGGGAGGAAGGTCTGAAGCTGTCCCCTTGGTTCAGACTCGTCGTGGACAACTTCTTGTTCAAATGGTGGGACAATGTTGAGAAAGGCACCATCAAGGAAGCTGCTGACATGAAAACCATCCACAGGTTGACTTAAATTCAGTCTGTGGGGATGGGGAAACTTTGATTGTTGTTAGTTGTTTTGTTTTTATTAAAAAAATTCCAATAAATTTGGACTCATAAGGCGTTCCAATTACAAGTAGCCATTTTGTTGTTGTTTGACTTTGTTGTCTTCCCCGAAACAAGTTCTTATATGATATTCCGTGGTTTTGTAATGTGGAAGTGACGATGAATCAATAAGAAACTTTTCGCCTCTTTCATCATAAAACAAGGCCTGGAATTTCTTTTGCATGTAATGTATGTTTGGTCCAAACAGAGAAAGAACTGTTCTTAAATCCAATCCAATCCAATGCTACCTCGCCCTAAAGAATTAGTTTCAAGGACTATTTAGACTACTAGAACAAAGTAACAAATTTTTTCTTTTTGAGAGAGGTGATAGTACTCTAAAGTTACACACACTATATGGACTTGAATTCAAAACCTCTTCGGAGGGTGCAATTGCTCTAAATCACTATACTAGTGGGTGGGTCATTTGCAAAGTATGAAGTTTTACTTGGTCTTTTGAAGGCAGATTGGATATCAATCTTTAAACGTGCAACAAACATAAGGTTAAGCTGAAGAACTCGTTCCAAATCACAAAAGCATTTCAGAAAAGTAAAAGCCAAAGACCCTGATCATCATCGGATATGTTATGTTTTCCTTTCTACAGAAGAACGTAGTATTAAGACTTCCACTAAGATGCCTGCAGCTATATAATGTCCCACATCGGCTGCTACAAGAAGTATGGTGCGGTTTATATTCGATGACGAGAGGCACACAAGTCAACTTGTGGGTGTGGGGCCGGGAAATGCACGCGAACCTTGAACCCTAAACCAAGCCCCGGTCCATCGGGTGAGAGAGTGGGGGTCTTTACCCGGTGTTTCCCCCGTGTGGTTAAACAAAGAAACGCCGACGCCCCGCGTGTACAATTTCCCACGTTGACAAAATTGCCCCTCGAGAGGTTTGAAGGTGGTACTGCTGGCTCCTCTGTGGTTGTGTAAATAATCCAGGTGTCTCGCGGTTACTGGTTGTCCTCACCTCTCGTGCACCCACAAACGTTTTTATTTTTTATGCCTTCACCAAATTATGACACATTATATGATCAATCGCTGACGCGACGCCACCATCATGCCTCTCTCTCTCTCTCTCTCTCTCTCTCAAACGCGTTCACATTGATGGTGTGGCAATCCCATGTTCACATCTAGTCATCTGTCTACCTCCACTTATTATCTAATTGATTTAAGAAACAACGACCATAATTTATAAAGGTTTGATCTTTTCAAGCTATAATTCACTACACATGATTTATGAACAGTACGCTTTTAATGTGGCACAGAAAAGAACCACACAGAGAAAGGGGGAAAAACATCTCAAAATAGGTTTTTTATTTTTTTATTTTTTTGTCTGAACCATGAGGTGGTCCTGGATGGGCCCCAACTATGGGTGGCACCTTTAAGCCTTAACCACAACCCAGACTAATCCCCACTCACACCAGGTCGGCCCGTAAGGGGTAAAGTGTTGGCCAAAGTGGTGACTCCGTACGAGAGCAGAGATCGAACCCCTGTCTTCTCTTAAGGAATGAGAGTGCCGAACCACTCACACCAACCACCTTGGTTTAAATAGGTTTTTTCTTTCGTTTAATGTAACAAAACAAAAAGAAAAGTAAACTGTATAAGAATAAATAACGAAAACAAACAAGAAAAAAGCAACAGCAACAGCAACAGATGAAAAAGACTTCATTTTGCACGCGCTTTACAGCTTAACACAGATTCTCTTCTTCTTCTTCCATCCCATGTTTATAGCGAGAGACACACTCAGAGTCATAAGTCACAACTCAGCCAACAACCCTCTCTCTCTCTCTCTCTCTCTCTCTCTCTCTCTTTCTCACCGTGCTATCTGTGCTTTCCTAGTGCCCCATCCAAGGTAAACTTGATGTCCTTAGATTTCATCTCCTCCTATTCCTGATTTCTTTGATCTGCTTGTCTGATTGCTCGCAAAATTGGTATGGAAATTTCAATTTCAACAGTTTCCGGTCCAATTTATAGCATTTTCAGGCCTACAGAGAGACCCAATATGGGAATTCAATTTATTTAGTTTCCTTTCTCTATTGCTTTAGATCATCGGGTGTATTATTTGGATTTGAATGAAAGACTTGATGAGATTAACACAAGTTGGTCTGATTAATAAATGATAATATACTTGGCATTGGCTCGCAACCATAAAGATCCAATCTTGCGTCTCAGTATGTATGTTTCGTGTTAACTTAGGAATGAATCATATTTGGTTTGTACTTGTAATCAGTGTGTTTATGTCGAGTAGATTTTATCTATTCATTTATTCCTCTTAACTTGTATCAGGAGATTTGGATTTATCATATCTAGTCCAGTTGAATTTCTGTAATTTGGTTGAATTTGCAAATTTGGGAACCATATGTATGTGTATTTGTTTATGAGAGGGTTCTGTTTTTGAAAATGGCAACTCGGTGCAAAATGCTGCTGGTTAGGATTTCAAAAACTATGCCTCATCTAGGGGAGACAGATATCAGCTTTATTTATTCAAAGAGTATCATGCATCCATCCATCCTTAATCTGATTGAATGTTTGAAATCGTTGGTACGTGTTAAGTATCATCACAGGGGTCCTGTTTTATCAATTGGGTCTTCTGCCACAGTGATCTTCGCCATTCTCCTCTATTTGTCGTATGTATTTGCTCATTCTTGCTCTGGCTGGCTGGCTGTTCATTGGTGTTTGTTGCAAATGCTCAAACCATCTTGAGCTTTCGCCTTTTCTTATCTTTAAGGGTATTCTGCAGTGTATCTCAAATATCCATTTCTTGATTTTAATTTGAATTATTCCATTTCAGGCGCTGATTTTACTGCTTTTACTTATATTGATGATGGTGTGCACAAGACTAATATAGCAAGCTTTGTCTTGTGACCACTTAGCGTCTCATATAAAGCATACTTCTTCTATGCACAATTGTTTGGGGGATTCTCATCTCTTTTCTTTTCTTTCCCTTTTTGGTTTTGGACAGCGTTTTGCATGGTATTCTCATCTACCATCTTGAAGTTTTTCTTTTTACTTCTAGTGAATTACGTGTTTATATTTCTTTTCTTTCCCTTTTTGGTTTTGGACAGCGTTTTGCATGGTATTCTCATCTACCATCTTGAAGTTTTTCTTTTTACTTTAGTGAATTACGTGTTTATGTTGTGTCTTTGTAATTTATGTCTTGAAAACTTATGTATCCACAAAGAATCTCTGCGCAGTTTTCACTCAACCTCTGCCCTTATATTCCCCACTGTACTGATATATGCCAGTTAGTAACATTTAATCAAAAGCAAATAGCAATACTAAGATACTATGACCATCCTCCATGTGCTTTGTTCTTTGGCATAATTCATTGATCTATGTCCTACCCTGCAGGTTCTTGGAACAAATGGCCTTGGTAACAACTGCTGAAGTTTGCGACGCACACTCGCAGCTAATTGGAAGTGGTGATCTACGGGTGCTTGAGCCAATATTTCAGATATATGGCCGGCGACAGGTCTTCTCTGGACAAATAGTTACCTTAAAGGTATTTGAAGACAACGTTCTGGTTCGTGGGTTTCTCGAGGAGAAAGGCAATGGCAGAGTTCTTGTTGTGGATGGGGGTGGAAGCAAGCGGTGTGCAATATTGGGGGGCAACCCTGTAGTTCAAGCTCAGAATAATGGATGGGCAGGTATAGTGGTGAATGGCTGTATAAGAGATGTTGATGAGATTAATGGTTGTGACATTGGTGTGAGAGCTCTAGCGTCCCATCCCATGAAAGCCAATAAGAAAGGGATTGGAGAGAAACAGGTACCAATTACCATCGCTGGGACAAGGATCTGCGATGGGGAATGGCTTTATGCAGACACCGATGGAATTCTGATTTCTCGTACCGAGTTATCTGTATAAGAGATGGCTTTAGGAAGGAAAACCGTGGTATGCAAGGAGCCTCTTGCATCCAACCTCTCACCTACTCATCATGTGATTTATTGTAAGAGGGATGTTATTGTACCATGGTTAAAGGAAGATTTTCTCCATTGGAAGACAAGTCTTTGCAGCATAAAAATGTATTGTCTTTGTTTGGTTGCTCTGATGTTGTACCTTGTTTGCCCTGCCGGGCTCATTTTCCAACTTTCGATTGTATTAAGCAACATTCCATGATATTAAACTGTTAACTACGCTTTTGGTTTCTCCTTCTCCTTCACATTCCCAATCAGCTTAATTGCCATCTATGGTTTCATTCACAGCCTTCACATAGTACTAATATTAGTTGCTTCATTACTACATATGTTTTGTTTGATCATATGTATGTAGGGCCCCTGAATGTTCTTGTTTAGAAAAACAGGACAAGACCCTAATTGTGAAAATTTAATTAGAGTTAATCTTGTGCAGATTCTTTCTTAAAAAAACATTTGATCGTCCCAATAACTTAGTCATATAAATTAACTGAAGGTAACAAGTACATTCAAGATTCAACTTAAGGTCCAGCTCTCGTAAGCCTTATAAACACACTGATTCCGAGTCCCCTACATCCTCAGCAGCCACACTTGCATCTTCTCTGGTAATACTAATTGTTGAGGCTGCAGATGAGCCAATAGTTTCTGCAGCTCCCAAATCCAAATCCCCAGGTTGCAAATACATTGCCTTTCTTTTGCTTCTGCTGCGTTGCCATTTCCTCAACAACTCTTGAACATCCTCACTTTCAACATCTCTAGATGCGGCTTGTGATTCCCTACTATGGCGTCGTCGTGGTCGTGGTCGTGGTCGAGATGTGGCTTGTGATTGTGTCTCGATGTAACTTTGGTCACTGACATTTGCTGCGGCAGTAGCTGTGATCATTGTCATTGGCAGCAAGAGTGGCTTGCAGAAAAGTATGAGAATTATGAGGAACAAAACGTAGATATATAAAGCGGTCCAGACGAAAAAAGTCAACTTCCAACTGCGCACCACATGTTTCGTCCAAGGCAGCTGGGAATTCAACAAAATTTCAGCCTCGTACAACTGGGGAAGATACGAGGTTCCAGCTCTTGGGAATAAAGTTACTCTTATGGCTTGGGTTCTTGGAAAATGCCCTTCCTTATGCTCGAGTATTTGGATGGTTAACTTCTGGGTTTCTGCAGAGATTCCTAGTAGCAACGGTACGCCCATAAGAAATGTTCGTGAGAGTCTAACCGGGAGGCTCCTAAATCGTAACATGCAGGGCTGGCTTGACTTTGCAATCACATCACCATTCACTGATAATAGTTCTGCACTCATCTGATGATCAATATATAATTAACCAATTAAATTGTTATTTAGTAACAAACCTTAATTTCAACCAATAATTATACATACCTGAAACACCCCAATGCCTCTATTGAAATCAGATTCAGGCATTAATAGGACCAAAGAGACATAAAAAGTGTGTCCAACCGGAACCCCACCAAAAGCAAAGACAGCCGTTGGATGAGGGTCAGTGTAATCAAAGTGCAACCTGTCTCTCACAAACACAGGCTCCTCCACCCAAAGATTGACCAACCCAACACCCAAAATAAAAGATAGAATCAAAACCATGACCAAAACCATACAGACATAAGCAGCCCCAAGAAACCCAAAACCAAGCTTCTTGAGGAGGATGGTGCTGCCATGTGTGAGGGTAGAGGGAACCTGGTGGACGGCGGATTCAACGTTGTCTTTGGTCTGCTCGACTTGGTGGTAAGAATCAGAGGCCACAGACAAGAGGGAGAAAATGGGGGCAGACAGAGTGGCCATGCAGTTGTAAATTAAATCTGCTTGAAAAGATACAAGCTTTGGGAACCACTCTGATGGTTTTGGTATCAGATACTCATCACCGTCATATTGGCCGTATTCTGCTTCATCATTCTCCAATACTGGTGTTTCTGGTGGTGGTGGGTTGCTGAAGGTTGATGTGGGCTCAGCAGGTTCCATATCTCTTGAGACTCTAACTCAGAGAGAGAGAGAGAGAGAGAGGAGGTGCTTGCATATGTTAATTGAGTGTCAGTGTTGTAGCTAGCTGGTTAACACAGCATAGCAAGAGGGAGCTCCACCTGTACAGTGTAATGTTGCATGAAAGGAAAATATGAGACGTGGTAGCGCTGCTGTTTGACAAGTTGACATCTGTTCTGTTGTTTGTCCAGCTGCACATCACCATCATCAAATCATATTTCTTCTTCTTGTTTTTGTTTTGCTTTAAAGAAAAGAAAAGAAAAAGAAAAAAAAAAAAAGCTTTGAGCTTTTTCTGTTCGTTGTTGATATTTGGACTCTGAAACATGTTTGGCCCATTGATTGATTGAACCCCCAAATTGGGCTGGGGTTTGAATATCAATATACGGTCTTCTGACTCTTCACCAAGCCGAACAGAGGATAAATACCTAAAGGAAAGGAAAGGAAGGGAGAGAATAAAAAGAAACTTGCACGAGTCTAATGCAGAAGCAAAAACCCCAACAACCCCAATCCTCCTAATTGATCGTATTTCACAAACCCCTTAGAATTACAAAAACCAAGCACATGACATGCATATCACTGATAAAGCAAAGCCACACCCTTTTGTCCCTTAAAACTGTCCATGCCTCTATCCTCAGAACCCACCTTCGCCTCAATCTCTTTCTCTGCACCAACCTCATTGCCCACTATGCCTCTTTGGGCTCAACCTCTCACGCCTATACCCTCTTCTCTGCCTTCTCTTCTTCCTCATCCTCCTCTGACGTTTTTCTTTGGAATGTGATGATTAGAGGCTTTGTTGACAATGGCCTATATCACAAAGCCATTGCTCTGTACAGTAAGATGTGGGAATTGGGTACTCAACCTGATCACTTTACATTCCCTTTTGTGCTTAAGGCTTGTGGGTACGTTTCTGATGATAGATTGGGTGTAAAGCTTCACGGGGATGTGATTCAATGTGGTTGTGCATCGGATTTGTTTGTGTGTAATTCACTTATTGGCTTGTATGGAAAATTTGGGCAGGTTGAGACTGCAAGAAAGGTGTTTGATAAAATGCCCGACAGGAATGTGGTTTCTTGGAGTTCGATGATTGGTGCGTACTCGCAAATTGGGTGTTTCGAGCATGGGTGGTTTTTGTTTGCAATGATGTTGAATGAGGGTATTAGACCCAACAGGGCTGCCATTTTGAATGTGATGGCGTGTGTTTCTAGAGAGAATCAGGCTGATGAGGTTTGTAGAGTTGTGGTAGCTAATGGACTTGATTTGGACCGTTCAATTCAAACTGCTGCCATGCAAATGTACGCACGGTGCAGAAGAATTGATGTTGCTCGGGGCTTCTTTGATAAAATCAGTGATAAGGACTTGGTGTCTTGGGCATCCATGATTGAAGCTTATGCGCAAGTTGATTTGCCTCTTGAAGCCTTGGAGCTCTTTAAAGAGATGAGAGTGCAAGGGATTCTCCCTGATTTGGTGGCGCTTCTAAGCGTGATTCACGCTTGTTCAAATTTAGCATCGTTTCAGCAAGCGCGCTTAATTCATGGACATGCTATTCGTTGCTTTTTCAAGAACCACATTGCGCTTGAAACTTCTATAGTTGATTTATATGTAAAATGTGGAAGCTTGGTATATGCTAGAAGGGTTTTTGATGAGATGCGAGAAAGAAATATAATCTCATGGAGCACCATGATTTCAGGATATGGGATGCACGGTCATGGAAGAGAAGCTGTTAACCTATTTAATCAGATGAAGGCTCTAACAAAACCAGACTACATTGCATTCCTATCAGTGCTGTCAGCCTGCAGTCATGGTGGGTTGATTGCCGAAGGATGGGAATGCTTTAATTCCATGAGTAGGGATTTTCAGGTAACACCAAGAGCGGAACACTATGCATGTATGGTTGATCTTTTGGGTCGATCTGGTAGACTGAAAGAAGCGTTTGAGTTCATTGAAAGAATGCCAGTAAGGCCAGATGCTGGTGTTTGGGGATCACTGCTTGGGGCATGTAGAATTTATTCAAATATAGAACTTGCTAAAATTGCTGCAAGACAATTATTTGAGTTGGATGGGGAGAACCCAGGTCGATATGTTCTCATGTCCAATATTTATGCATCTTCTGGAAAACAGAAAGATGCTGATAAGATTAGAGATTTGATGAAACAAAGAGGGGTGAGGAAAGTAGCTGGTCACACCAGCATAGAGATAAAAAACAAGGTCTATACATTTGTGGCTGGAGATAAGTCGCATACTCAAACTGATTTAATCTATTCAGAGTTGGAGAAAGTGATAAATAGGATTCGACAGGAAGGGTACAAGCCGGATTTGAACTTTGCATTGCATGATGTGGAGGAAGAGATGAAGGAGAAAATGTTGTATGCGCATAGTGAGAAGCTTGCGATAGTTTTTGGATTGTTGAATTCAGGACCAGAAAGTGTTATTAGAATAAAGAAGAATCTGAGAGTTTGTGGGGATTGCCATACAGCTTCCAAGTTGATCTCTAAGGTTAGAGGAAGGGAAATTGTAATGAGAGATGCTCACAGATTCCACCATTTCAAGGGTGGTGCATGTTCTTGTGGGGATTATTGGTGAACAGTGAGAGTTGTTTTAATTGCTAGAAATGATCCTAGAAAGAAAGCAAGGGGAAAGTGGATGGCTTATGAGATTATGGTTTAAGGAGGGAAAGGTTCAAAGAATCAAAGGTAGGTGCAGTGAGCAAATATTTGGGTATACTTGTGTGTTTCTTTCTTCTTTTACATTGGATTGGAAGATTCATGAATTAAGTTTTAGGAAATTGTTGTATAGATAGTTGGTAATAGAGAGCCGTTGGTAATCAATAACATCCTAATTATGAGGAATCCATTAATTACATTGACTAGACTAGGACTAGCAGTCTAGCACATTTGAATTCAAACCAAACCAAATAGTTGATGTGGCTGGTAGATAGTAAAAGTTAAATTCCAGATTGACTAGACTAGCAGCACAGCAGGGCAGTCACTTATAGGGAGGAACTAGGTATTTTGTATATGTTCGTACATGTTCTCTCTTTCTTTATTTTTTGGGGTCAAGTCGTACATGTTCTCTCTAAGTCTAAGGAAATGTACGTATTTTGTACACGTTCGTTCTCGTTCAATAACAAAAAATATTACTACAAAGTACAAACAACAAGTATTCATTACCTTATAACATTTTTCACGTGTCATATGGTTTAGAGTTGAATGGTAGCCACGTGGCTCCTCTAACCGCATATTGTTTTAGATTATACAAAGCTAACCTCCACCTCAAGATTTGCGGCTAGCCATTAGCATTTAGCAAACCAAATCCCACGCTTAAGTCCCCAACTCTCCAACACTACCTAATTAATTAAATAAATTTGCAACTTATGAAGATAGAATTAAACTAATTATTATTGGATTAAGAAACGAGTTACGGAAAATGAACCAAGTAAAATGGATTAGCTATATTTGGTAAGAGGATAGAGAACATGAAATACTTGGCAATTATTGCTTCATCATGTCTAAGAAGATGAAATTAGATCAGGTTTTAACTTAAATAGAGTTTGAACTTTGAAGAAGAATTTTAAATTACTTTTTAAACACAAACTTAAATAGGGGTTGAAATTAGAAACCAATGATAATAATAATAAAAATAATAATAATAATGAAAAATTGATTTGAGAAGAAACAAACTTTATCTAGATTTACGTAAGACATTGAAATGAAATGAACACGTATTTGAAGTTTGTTTAAGTTCTTGGTTGCTATCCATCCATGCGATTTTAATCAAGATATAAGAGGAGGAGGAGGAGACGAGGAGAGGCCGTAGAAGCAGGAAGGGGGGTTTTTTTTTGGGTCCACATCATCAGCCAGCCAGCCAGAACGAATACAGATTATTTCGTGGGTCCCACGCTCGAAATTGTTCTTGGTTTGAGAGAGTGACTGATCCCCCCTCACTCTTTTCTTCGGGCAAACCGGCAAAGGCACTTCTTTTTCTTCTTCTTCTTCTCTCCGCTCCTCTCCTCTTCTCTCCTGCAACAAAAACAACTGAACCCAATTCTCTCTCTCTCTCTCTCTCTCAAAATCCAAACCATTTCTTCTTGGGAACCTCTGAAAACACTTAATTGTTTGTACCATAATACACATTGAAACTTGAAAGCCTTTTCATTTCCTCAAATTCTTTTCATTTCATTCAATAGAATAACAAAAAAGGTTTCAGCTCCGGAATTACTCAAAGAGGAGCTGAAACCAAACCAAAGCTAGGGTTTTTACAATTCTTACACTTAGAGAGAGCCAGACAGTCACAGCCTTCTTGTCACTCTAACAGGGAATTATAAAACCAACAGACGAAGAGAGCATAAAGATGGGATTTTTAAGGACCATGGACCAAGAAGACGACGCCGTTGCAGAGAACAAAACCAAAGGTTGTGGACCTGGTGCTAACACCATTAGTATAGCAGAGAGGAGAGCAGCCAAGTGTGGATTCAATGCGGAGAGGATCAATACGGCGCGTTTTAGGACAACAAGCCCTTTGCCTTCGCCGGCCGCGGCTGCCAGGTCCCCCTGCCTCACTATTCCACCTGGTATCAGCCCCACGGCTTTGCTCGACTCCCCCATGATGCTCCCCAATTCTCAGGTTTTTTTTCTTTCTTTTTCTTCTCGTTTGGGGTTTTCTTCTTTTTGGTAATTTTGATGCAATTCTTTTGCTGTTGTAAATTTTGGGGTTTGAATCGAGCTAAATGTGTGAGATTCTGTCTGGTCTTTGTTTGGTGATTTTCTGATCAAAGAAACGTATAATTTTGTATTTTTGGGTTTCTCAACCTCAACATGTGAATTTTATGGGTTTTGTTGGAAATTGTTAATGCAATTGGTAGTAGGGTAGAAGTAAAAGCGAAAAAAAAAATGTAATTTACTTCTATTTAGTACTTTGCTGCTACTCTTTAATTATTATTAACTGACATTCCTCATGTTCGGTACGCTAGTTCTCTGAGAGTGTGTTCTCAAAATAGCATGTTCTTTTTAAGAGAGAAAAGTAAAACATCTGAATTTGTGATTATGCACTTCCAGATCCACTTTTTGTATAACAGTCTCTGCTTTGAAATTTCTTGGTTTAAACTGAGGTTTGTTAAGGGACTGGCAGCTGAACTAAAGGACAATCACCATAACCAAGAAGGCAAACGAACATTGTGGACATTGATAGTTACAAAGTAGACAAAAGAAATTTAATTTTTTTGGTGTGGGGGTGAAGTTAATTATGGAAAGTCTTAAATGATGTCTAGTAATTCCTGCTTGATGCTGTTTGATATGTGATCTTCAACTCTTATATTCTTCCAGGCGCTCCCATCTCCAACCACCGGAACTTTTCCGTTGCTTCCTCCCAATGATGACAGTTCAGTGCTGAAATCTGGAACTCATGAAGATGGTCACAGGGGGAGTGATTTCGGTTCATCCTTCACATTCAAGAGACAGGGCAATCCCAAATATCTGCCAGGCTATTCTAGTTTCGAAAATCAGGTAATGGTTACATGGCATGTTTCTTTCGTCTGAAAATAATTAGGGATTAGATGCCTCAACTTAATGTTTTGGAACTCAGTAGTATTAAACTCTTAAGCTGGAGAGAGGTTTTTAAACTTCTTTTTTGATCTAATTACTTCTTCCAAATGTGGCAACACAAGATATTGGTATTTTAATTACTAACCTAGTGATTATGTTATATCTAAATTTTCAATTGTAACCACAAAAAACCTTAAAACAGAATCTCCTTGTAATCTCGAGCTGTAATTTTATACATAGTTGTTGGAAACAACTTTGTATGGTTCTTCGATACACATGAGTCCGCATATCTTCAAAGCATGAATGTCCAAAGGTACTTTGTTTAAACCAAAATGTTAATGGTCCCTGTGTAGATTTTGAGAAGTTGCCATGGGGATGTGCTGCTAAATTCTGAACTTACCAGTAATTTATTTACGATTTTTATGTGAGATTGTGTTTGGATTAATTTCTTTCCATTGTTCCTCAGGGATCTACCGTTGACTACCAATCTCTGGTTTTGGAGCAACAACCAATAGATTTTGAATTCCCAATGGAGTTTCCGGAAGAAGCTAATGCAAAGAACTATGCTGTGGATCCATCCACCCATGTTAAAAACTTAAACAGTGGGATTCTGAATGCCAACTGCGTAGACTTGCAAAGGTCTAATTCAAGCGCAGCTAGTGAACAAAACTCTCTTCCCAAAGAACCGATTCATGGAGAGGACGTTGGGAGCCACCCATTTTTGGAAGGAGAGCATAGAGGGTCATACCCATCTGCGGGAATGGTCAGGACTTCAGAAGATGGATATAATTGGAGGAAGTATGGGCAGAAACAGGTCAAAGGCAGTGAATATCCAAGGAGCTATTATAAATGCACGCATCCAAATTGTCAGGTGAAGAAAAAGGTGGAACGATCCTTTGATGGTCAAATAACTGAAATCATCTACAAGGGAGCTCCTCATAATCATGCAATGCCTCAGCCTAATCGTCGAGCTGGAGCATCACTTGGATCATCATTTTCATTTGATGAGACATCAGAGATGTGTGAAGGAAGTAGGGCCTCTGTCAAAGTTGAGGGTGGGTCAGTTTGGACAAATATTCAGACCGGTAAGGATATTAAAACTGGTTCTGATGGGAGGGCTGAAGGTCTGGAAAGGACATCCTCAACATCTGTTGTTACCGACCTTTCTGATCCATTGTCAACTACCCAAGGGAAATCCATGAGTATATTTGAATCAGCAGAAACTCCAGAGTTTTCATCCACACTTGCTAGTCATGATGATGATGATCGGGCCACCCAAGGAAGCATATCACTTGGAGATGATGCAGATGATGAAGAGTCTGATTCAAAAAGAAGGTATGTCATTTTCTGTTTATCTTACAGGTGTCTATTTCCAGGCCACCATGACTAACCAGGATATATTTTCCTGCATGGATTTTCCCTTCCAGGAAGAAAGAGAGCTGCTTGATTGAACCAAGTTTAGCATCCAGGGCTGTCCGTGAACCAAGAGTAGTTGTCCAAATTGAGAGTGAAGTCGACATACTTGATGATGGCTATCGTTGGCGGAAGTATGGGCAAAAAGTTGTCAAAGGAAATCCAAATCCTAGGTATGCTCTCTCTCTCTCTCTCTCTCTCTCTCTCATTGTAGTGGTTGGACTACTGTGTGGATTTCTACTGAGTTATGACCATAGAAGAGTTCAGGAAAAAAAAAAAACAGAAAAAGAAACAGAGGATAGCATTTCTTGGTCTAGTGTATTTCTTCAAATAAGATTAAAGCTCACATTCCTTATTTTCACAATTTAGGTTGCATAAAATCATTTGAGCATATACCATAAAATCATTTGAGCATATACTGGGGTATGTTCAGTTCTCATGATGGCTGGATAGGGCTTGTGCTTCCAATCATAAATATGTGTGTGCAATTAATCTTTCTACTTATTCTCTATCTTATAGGAGCTACTACAAATGTACTAGTGCGGGCTGTTTAGTAAGGAAGCATGTGGAAAGGGCCTCCCACAATCTGAAATTCGTAATTACAACATATGAGGGAAAACACAACCATGAAGTGCCCGCAGCGAGAAACAGTAATCACATAAATTCAAATGGTGGCAATGCACATCCATCTACTGCCAATGCTCAGCCAGCTCTTGCATTACCCAGGAGTAGCAATATTCCAAAGCCTGAGACACAAGTACAAGATCTTGCACCTCATTTTGATAGAAAACCGGAGTTCCATGAAGAATACCTGAGATCTAGTTTTCTTGGGAATTTCAATAATGACTTGAAATTTGGAGTTCCCTCCATTTACCAAATGAAATATCCGCCTTTGCAAAATACCATGCCATATAGCTCGTTTGGACTACATGCTAATCACGGTGTGACCCATCAGGCTGGTTCTGTTGTCCCAGACTTCCCAATTTCACTGCCTTTAAACCTTCCCCCATCTGGGAATCTCCCTCTCTCTGGTTTGGATTTCAACAATGGAAAACCAATTTGTCCAGTACAGCCTTATTTTTCAGGACAGCAGCTGCAGGAGGATGATATAAGGTACCTAAAGCCTAAACAAGAGCAAAATGATGATAACCTTTATGATGCCTGTTTGCCTATCATTGACCAGGCAAATGCATCATTGTCATCATCATCATCATCGCTTTTATATCAAAGGATCATGGGAGGTTATCCATCATAAAATTTTTGTTTTTGCTTCTGAAGCAGTCATCAATCGTACTAGTCATCCAGTTTTGTTTTCTTTGAAATTTTTATTGTGATAGTTGTTTCTTCTCGTTTTCTATTAAACATCTGATAAAAATCCTATACAAATTTCATACAAGGGTTTACTGTTTTTTTCATCAACTTTTATCTGTAGGAACAAATACATCCGTAGACTTTTATCTGTTGCCTTATCTGTTGCCACTCTCTCTGTTTCTCTCTCTCTCTCTCTCTCTCTCTGTTGTGCATGTTTTGCTTTATTGCCATTGACAGATACCTTGGAACCCTAGATGTAATATATGCCAGTTTATGACTCAGGACTAATAGAAGTAAAACTGATATTTCCCATGCCCCAAACCCTTCAAACACATAACTTGGTGTACAACGATAAAAGACGAAACTGGTTACGGATACAGCATTTCGCATACGCCATAATAAATCCCATATAGTTAACAAGGGGGAATCTAACATCATTGAGACTAAATTCAAGACAGATTCTCAAATGATGAATGAATCTGAAACTGGTAAAAGAAAGGGGTTTGAATTGGAAATTGATGAACTGCCCATGCCAAAACCTGTTTAGTGAATTGACACAAACACAGAACTTGCAAAATAAATCAAAATCAGGTATAGGTTTCTTTGGACAAAGAAAAGACCCTTCTTTTTACCCACCATCGGCCATTCATTAATAATCAAGATCAATAACATCAGGAAAGAAAATGATTTAAAGCACATTCCATAAACCACTCAATTCTGAAACATTGATCATCTTGATGACCTTAGGCATAGAAGAAACTAATATACATCACATAAAATTCCAAAATTAACCAATACCCATAAAGCACTGCCAACCAAAACAAGCATGGCTCTGAATCCGACCCTCTTACCCAATCTAGTAAACCTACCACTACCCGCGAAAGCACCAGAAAGCCCGTTCCTTTGGTTGATTTGATTTGACTTTTGACTGGAATTCACTTCTTGAGACTGCCGCGAACGCCAGGTCGTGGCTTGTTAGCGTCCTTGGAGGGTTCTGCGACTTGGGTGCTGGTGCTGGTGCTGGCATGGCGATTCACAATCTTCTCCTCCTCAAAAGGGATCTTTGGATGTCGAGCTTCATGGTGAATCTGCATCGACTTCACGTCCGGTGCCGTAATCTTGCAGTGCGGGCACTCCATCTTGGCATGCCCTCCCTTCTCTTTTCCGGTCCGGTCAGCGATTCCGGCTTTGCCACCTCCGCGGTTGGTGGTCGCGGCGTCGATCTTGGCCGCGATCTCCTTGGCTGTGTGCTTCTTCGGCTTGGCTTTGCCTGTCATCTTTGACGATCAGTTTGATCTCAAGAGAAAGGATTTGGACGGGTGAGGTGAATTAGACAGAGGAAACCCTAACTCTAACACTGGAGGGAAAGATATTGAGAGAGTGCGTGTGCGGGTGCGCGACTGTATTACTCCCATATATATATATAGGGTTTATCTGTCTTTCATTATGACTTGATGTAGTAAAGGATGTTTGTGAGCTCGGTGACGTGTGGAGCTCTCATTGGATTATGAATTTGGGATCAATTGGGTTTGGGTCTTTGCTTTCCCTGGGTCAGACCAAAAAAAGACCAATTGGTCAAACTGTTAAGGTAGGTAAGCCCAAACAAAACTACACATGCATTAACAAATGGAGTCATTCTATAGTGAGGCGGCCCTTAGGTGAGTTCCTATTTCTTAATCGTTGGATCAGACTAACTAATTTGATTCTATAGTGAGGGCGGCTCTTAGATGAGTTCCTATATCTTAATCGTTGGATCAGACTAACTAATTTGATTCAACGGTTAACCAATTTGATCCAATGCTTGCCTCACTTAAGAGCCATGTATAAGACCCTCATTATAAAATTCTTGTTAACGAGTGAAAGAGAGTGGATGATCGATTTTAAGCCATTCTTGATCATTTTAACTTGCCGATTTCGAGCTTTTTTCTCTGAGTTCCTCTGCTGTTATTAACAAGAGATAACCATTCTTACCCCATTAGAAAACAAATTTTTTTATATTACAGAAACCCGTTCCCCTAATTAGAAGTTAAACATGTTATGATAAGCAAAAAGCTTGAAAAGATAAAAATGATAAACACGGTATCTATATAACACACAATATAACGGTAGAATAAGTCCAAACTTTATGAATATCTTTGGAATTATGAACATTCAACAATAATGCTTTATCCCTTGAAATAAAAAACAAGAGACAGAGACAGAGACCTTGAAATGAAATTCCCAAAGTATCAAAGATACCGTCTTTATCAACAGAGAGAAGAGAATAACCTAAAACTGTTGTAGTACAGACAGAGCATTACGAAACTGCACAGAAAAATTGGTCTGTAGTCTGCACTGGACTGGACCAATTGCCACCATATTTCCCAAACAAATAATGGAAGACGAAAAAGAACAAAGTGTTGAATGGATTTTTTTACCAGAAGCTGTGTGTGAGTGGGGATAAGTGTGGGCGGATATTTTACGCCACAAACAGAAACAGGGGTCTAAGTGAGTGACTAATAGCAAAGCCAGAAAGAAAAGGAAAAAGAGAAGGGCCCTCCAAGCTATATGTTAAACTTTCATGGTTTGCGGCTTCTGTAAATTGTCTTCTCTGTATAACAACCGCCTCTTGTTGGAACCATAACCTTGATACTGGTAGATAATGCTGTAAAGGCACTGCCTCAGGAGCAATGTGTCAAATCCTTCTAAAAACCTCAAATCTGTTGCCCTAGACTTCACGCCAGCAAATCGCTGGTACTCCTCAAACACAGAAGACAAACACCAATTCTGAAATTTTCGTAGGCAACCAACAAGGCAGCCCGTCCGATGCTGTAAAACCAAAATTACAAAACAGAAGGTGAGAACTCCCATAATCCAAAATCCAAGCGTTAATATGATACTACTTAACTACTACGAATATGTTATGTGTTGTTATATGAAGTTGTTAAATTATGCCCATTCAAAAACGACCCCTGGCTGAAACCTAGAAACACAGAGAAACTATCTGCTAAGAAAAGAGAAAGTCTTCAAATAATGATCTCTCCCTGACAACAAATGCATCAAATAGTACGTATGACATTCAGTTAGCTGAACTTCAGCATGCTAAGCAGCAGAGCCCAACCCCTACCCGTTTCAGGAAATGATAGAGACTAATCTTTAAAAGACGAACCCAAAGGTACTCTAAATTATGTTCCTTGAAAAATTTCTTTTGATTCATTGAACAATGAAACGGATGAAGAAACATGATTCGCAATCATGACAGCATTTTGTTTATTGAAAAAAAAAAAGGACATATGATATGAATGGCATTAGTTGGATGATAATGTTACCAACAGACTGGCTCCTATGCTAGGTAGCAGTAAAACAAAATATAGGAATGGCTGAGAATATTAAAAAGAGCTTAACAAATTTACCTTTCCACGCTTGCAATGGATTAAAACTGGATGATTTCTCACATCTAGAAACACAAAAGTTTTCATGTTAGAAACTAAGAAAATACAAGCTAACGTTAAAATTAAAGGCAGAACTGTCATATTAGTCCAGTACCAATCAAGACTTTCAGAGCCTCCAAGATGGTATCGTTAAGAATAGATACAGAAGGCTCCTGCATATACAAATGGTCATAAACCCATCAACACATTATACATAGCTCATATTCCATCAAATGTCATGGCCAAGCATAATGTTCCCCATTTCAACGAACGTGTAAAACTGCATTTCAGACATTTACAAGCACGGATGTGCACATGCATGCAATTAAGCACGTACTAATAGCAAGTAAATAGAACATATGGATCTCACAAGAAGATGTAAAATGAAAAATTTTAGCAAAGAAAAGCACAGAGAGAGAAAAAAATATTACCGTCTTCCCCTCAATTCCAAAGTGGAGGAGCTGAATATTCTGAGAGCGAAGAAACTCCAAATTCTCCTCTGGGTAAGGCTCAGGACACAAATATCTGCTCCAAATCCCAAAATAAACCAATTTATTATGTTCTGTTTAGTTACCAGGAAATTCACGACAGTCCTTTTAGAAAATAAATTACTTTTCTTTCGATTTGATGATAAGTGAAGATGAGGCTGCTCTGAAAACAACTCTGAATTAGTTTCTTGCTCTTGTTTCCCTCAATTTCCTAACCTAAGCAATCAAACAAATTCTTGAAAAGAATTACGAACGCTAATCTGATTCTTGAATGCAATAATACTTAGTTCACACTAAAACTTAGACATAAAGATTGAAAAAGATTTATTGTGTTATCTTTTCCTTCCTTTCTCACGTCATTCTATAGTATTTTCCCTGACTTTCTCAGCTACCAAAAACCTCACAAACCCAACCACACGCACATAGATACATACATGCATTGTGTGTGTGTGTGTGTGTGTAAAAATGAAGACTTACATGATGGATCGGAGATGAAGGGATCGGAGGAAAGGAAAATTGGATGGTTGCGGGAAACCAGATCTGAAAATGCCGTCCTCGACCATGGAGAAATTGGTCGGAGGCTCCAAAACGTCGTGGTGGTGGTTGTTGATGTTGTGGTTCTTCTGTTGGTCCATCCCTCTCTTTGTTCCTCTCTGTTTTGGTAGTGGGGGTTGTATATATGCAGACATAGAGGCAGAAGCAGAGAATAGAGAATGCTGCGTGAAGCGGTTTGGTAATAGTAATACGAACGAGAGAAGAGGAGGAGTTGATGGTTTGGTTGTTTAGGTGGGGAAGGAGGGAGACTAGGAGAGAAACATACGATACGACGCCGTTGGAGTGGGGCGGGGGTTTCTCAGGTTTCGTGTTCTTTTCTTTTGTCAGGGGCGGGGTGTTTGTTTGTTATGAAAAAGGAGAAGAAGGGAAACGTGAAAGGTGATTTGGGTTGGATTTGGATTCAACGAGTTCGTCCGAGGTTCCTGTGGGACTTGTCCCCTCATTATCCACATTTATACAAATAAACATTTTGTACTTTTCTCTTGCTCATTTGATTCCTTGTTGTTTTGTTGTTTTGTTGTTTTTAGTAAACCCACAATTTTGTGAGGGTTTTGGTTACTTACAAGTTACAACAATTTTAATTAAATTTTGACCAGGATTTCTTGGTCACCTATAAGTTATAACTAAAAACTAATGGGGGTTTGATTCAAAGTTTTGAATTGAACCCATGTACATATGACTTTTTCAACTCACATTCAATGATTCAACTATGTCGGTTGGAATTGGTCTCTTTTTTCAGCGAGGGAGCTTTCTCACAACTCTTTTCATACGCAAGTCTGTGGGTCAAAGCCCAAATTCCCATCTCTGCTGGTAGCCAATTCAAAACCAAATAAAATGGTCCAACCCATTCTAACTTCTAACCCATTCAAAGTTCTAACCCAACACAAAAGCAGAATGGCATTGGGTTTCATGTCCAACCACATAAAATAAAGATAAAATGAAGAGATTAGTTTAGTTGGATAAAGGGATAAGGTTTTAGTTCCACCTCATCCAATGGAATCAGAGGGTTCTCTGAGCACCACAAGACAACATCCTTGAATCTTGCCTGCCTGCCTGCCGATGCAAAACTCAAAATATTACTTCTTCTCTCTGCTCTGTCACTCCTCTCCTACCCACCAATATTTGCTTGTCTTTGGACCAAAGCAAAGTCATGGCCTCTGCTTCACCAATGGCTAGCCAGCTCAAATCCAACTTCACCTCCCCACTCACTAGAGCTGCTTTGGTTTCACCTAAAGGCCTCTCTGCCTCTCCCCTAAGCCTCTTGCCTTCTAAAAGACTCTCTTCCTTCACCATCAAGGCCGTCCAATCTGACAAGGTAATTTACTTCTTTCTTCTTTATCTTCTTTACACTTTGTAATTGTAAATGATACTTTACTCCTTCTTATACATCATTTTAACTTTGATGTGTATGCATTGCCATTTGCACATGATATTATAATGTGTTGCAGCCAACTTTCCAAGTGATTCAGCCCATCAATGGTGATCCCTTCATTGGAAGCCTGGAGACTCCGGTCACATCAAGCCCATTGATTGCCTGGTACTTGTCCAACCTCCCAGCCTACAGGACTGCTGTTAGCCCACTTCTCAGGGGTATTGAGGTGGGCCTGGCTCATGGGTTCTTGCTGGTGGGCCCATTCGTCAAGACTGGTCCATTGAGGAACACACCCTATGCTGGGGGAGCTGGTTCCTTGGCTGCTGCGGGTCTTGTGGTCATATTGAGCCTTTGCTTGACAATCTATGGAATTTCATCCTTCAAGGAAGGAGACCCATCCACAGCTCCTGCTTTGACCCTAACTGGCCGGAAAAAGGAGCCCGACCAGCTTCAAACCGCCGAGGGATGGGCCAAATTCACCGGCGGCTTCTTCTTCGGAGGCATTTCAGGTGTTACTTGGGCCTACTTCCTCCTCTATGTTGTAAACCTTCCTTACTACGTCAAGTAGGTTTGCTTATTCTATTTGCTTCAAACTGTAATGACTCATGTAATGAATGATGGATGCTATATTGTTTGTGAAGATCTATCTATATTCTTTTCTCTCTCTCGCTCACAACTACTCACACTCGTCTTCAACTTACCATTTTAATTACTTGTCAGCTAAGATAAATCATCTATTATATTATTATGAATCTTGGAAACTCTGTTGTTGATCATTACAAATTTAAAGCCAATTGCAATTTGCATGTATATATAAATTGATAATTGTATTAAGTGCCAAGTATGTATATATATATATATATGTATGTGTGTATGAGATGCCATATAATTACAAAGCCATACATAGTAGTCATCATCACTCATTACACCATTAAAAAGCTTCAGAAAACCATAATGGAAATGTACGTACAGGGGGAGGGGGGAGATATAGAATTCCGATTTGGCAATGACGTTGATTTAGAGTCTTAAATACAATCACATCCTCAGTCCACCAATCTCTTTTAGACGATTTAAGAGGAAGAGCCGTTAACAAGAGGAACTGCAACATCAGCTTGGGAAGGCATGGATAGCTCAAATTGGCTCCAAGAAACAGGGGAAACAGAGAGCAGATCAGGAGATATGAGATTATCCCATCCCCTAATGGGGTCAGTCGTTGCAGATGCAGCAGAAGCAGAACCATCCCAGCCTATGTGTGTCACATGCTTCACATCTGTGGGACCCCCTATTTCCATATCCATTTCCATTACTTCTTCCATATCATCATCCTTGTACACTATCAAGGAAATGAAATGGGCACGAGAGCAGTAAGTAGAGATATAATTAACAAGCAAATGATAATTGCCAAATCAAATCACCCATTTGTTGAGAGACTTACCAAATATCTGAGAGAAATTCTTGAATCCCTTGAAGAGCCTGTGAATACCACTGGTAGATATGTTTGGTTTTGGAAGGGACAAGGATCTAAATGAGTTCTTCGTGCTTTCACCTGATAAGCTATCTTCTTCCTCTTCTTCATCTCCTACTTCTTTAGGTCCTTCACCAGACCATTGAGAAAAGAAAGAAAGAGAGAGAGAGAGAGAGAGAGAGAGAGAGAGAGAGAGAGAGAGAGAGAGAGAGAGAGAGAGAGAGAGAGAGAGAGAGAGAGAGAGAGAGAGAGAGAGAGAGAGAGAGAGAGAGAGAGAGAGAGAGAGAGAGAGAGAGAGAGAGAGAGAGAGAGAGAGAGAGAGAGAGAGAGAGAGAGAGAGAGAGAGAGAGAGAGAGAGAGAGAGAGAGAGAGAGAGAGAGAGAGAGAGAGAGAGAGAGAGAGAGAGAGAGAGAGAGAGAGAGAGAGAGAGAGAGAGAGAGAGAGAGAGAGAGAGAGAGAGAGAGAGAGAGAGAGAGAGAGAGAGAGAGAGAGAGAGAGAGCAATGTGGAGAACGGGTGGTTGGGGAAGTGCAACGTTCGCAGTGGGAATGGCTTGTTCTAATAGTATGCAGGTTGGCTTTGTTATCAAGTTTCAATAATTTTACGTATAAAAAAGTGAAGTTACGTACGCAAGTCTGTTTGGTAGAGATGGAGGGATTAACAAATTAGTGTTTGCAAAACTCCAAGTGATGGCTATGTTTGGACGTGAAATAAACATTAATAAGGTTTCGGTTGACAAGTTTAACCTAAACAACCCATTCCCAACTCACACACACATATATATCTGAAATATTATAAACACAAGTAGAGTAGAAACAATGACATAACATAAACCACTTTTCTATTGAAGATTCTAAAGTGGGTCGGGTTCTCCACTTCACTTACCTCTCTTATACAATAAGCCACCAATTTCCACATCTCTCTTCTTTTCTTTTCTTTTCTTTCCTTTACTTAATTTGGACTCTACCTTCAAGTAGTGCATACGAAGCCATCTTTCTTGGTTACAATCAATCTCATGGCTAGGAGCTTGGAGGAAGACCAATTGCGGTATTTCTTAGAAGCAGGGCATATATGATTGATTGGAAGAATGGAAAAACAGAGTCGTTGAGTGAAGAAAGCTACAGTTGTGTTGTGTCACCTACCGTAAAGGGATAAATTACCCTTATACCTTATGTCCCTCTGCCTGTGGTTGCAACATGAACAGCAATCAACAAACTCTGAGGCTGACTCCAGCTTCGTTCATAACAGGCTCCTTCATGATGACACTACTTTATCACCATTCTATTTTCAGCGACAAAAAGAAAAATATTTCTTCTAAACTTGCTTGGCGATTATGGAAAATGATCCAGAGCATCAGTAGAATGACTTGCACAAAATATATATATATATATATGTTAGAACCTTACCAGTAATCTTCACAGGAGCACAGACCATGTTTAAAATGATGGAACCGATGAAGATCTCTCACAACTATTTCCCTATCTAAAAGCTGAGAAGTATATTTAATAAAGTTATGACAATCAGTACACACTCTCAGGTTCTTCATTATCCGAATTGGTATCCCAGAAGTTGTGCTCATGATGCCATAGGCAATTGCAAGCTTTTCGCTGTGATAACCAAGAAGTACTTCTCCTTGTTCTTCTTCAACGTCCTGCATCACCATTTTCACGTCTAATGAATACCCAATTTCCTTCAGTCTTCCGATCAGCTCATCCAAATACGAATATATCTCTGTGGAATGTGGATGGGACCTATCACCCATGACGAAAGAGTGGACTTGATTCTTCTGTTGGATCCAAGATTGACCAGCCACTTTGTTAATTCCTCTTTGTTGCATCAATCTTCTCATACCAGCCGCTTCTTCCCATCTATGATTCGCAGCACACATGTTCGACAACAAAACATAAGATCCCTCATCAAACGGTTCGAGTTGAAGTAGTCTTTCAGAAACCCACTTTCCCAGCTCGAAATTTTTGTGAAGTCGGCAAGAAGATAGAAATGACTTCCATACTGAACTCAACTGAGAGATACCATTCTTATGAATGAACTCTTTAATCTCATCCAAGCGACCTGCTCGGCCATAAAGATCAACCATACAAGTGAAGTGCTCAGCTCCGGGCTTGATGCCATAAACTTCTTTCATCAAGCTGAAATATTTGCAGCCTTCTTCAAGAAGCCCGGCATGGCTGCATGCATTTAAAACCACCACGAAAGAAACCTCATTCGGCTTAATTCCCTCTTGTATCATGAGTTCAAAAAGCCGAACGGCCTCCTTCCCTTGCCCATGTAAAGCGCAAGCGGAAATCATTGAAGTCCACAGCACAACATTAAGATCAACAGTCTGTTTAAAAATCATCCAAGCATCATTAAGGCTCCCGCATTTAGCATACATATCAATGTATGAGGAACCTAAGTGAACATCTGTTTTGTACCCAATTTTCTGAATGTGTGCATGGATGTGTTGACCGAGAAGCAAAATCCCAACGTTAGCACATGCAGAAACTATACTTGTCACAGAGAATCTATCCACCATAATCTGTTCACGAACCATAGAACAAAAAGTTAGCAAAGCATATTCGTACTCACCATTACGAACATACCCAGAAACCATTGAACTCCATGATACAACTTCTGTCTTTGTCTCATGACAAGTAAACTTAGAATTTGTTCTCAATGGCAATGTTTTGAATATGAGTAACGCCTTTTCCATTTTCCCACATTTGGAATACATATCTATTAATGAAGTCCGAAGAAATCCATCATTTTGTAAACCAAACCTTAGAATGCGGCCATGAATTTGTCTCCCCAGTTCAAGAACATATAAAGATGAAGCCAAAACCAGAGCTACTGAGAAAGTGACTTTGTCGAATGGAGGTCCAATTTCCACCATCTCAGAAAGTAGCTCCAATGCATATGTTTCATGCCCATTTCGCATTAGCCCATATATGATTGTATTCCAACTAGCAACATCTTTGAAGGGCAGTCTTCTGAACAAATCAAGAGCCTTCCCCATATCCCCAATATGCATATATGCACCCATCATTACATTCCAAGTAACTGTGTCTCTCTCTTTCATAGTTTCAAAAAACTTTTCTGCGTAATCAAAGGCGCCACATTTTACATAAACATCAAGGATAGAGTTCTCTAATACCACATCCAAGTCAATCCCATTGCTTAAAATCCATCCATGAATCCCCTTACCCATCTGAAAATCGCTTAAACTAGAACAACTCTTTAAAACACTAGATAGTGTAAATTGGTTCGGACAAACACGCTCAATTTGCATCTGTTTAAAAAGTTCTAACACCATTCTACAATAGCCAATTCGAGCAAACCCGGATATGAGTATAGTCCAGGACCGGACATCCCTGTCAGGGCTTTCGCCAAACAGCTTGTGTGCATAGTCCAACTTATTAGATTTCACATACAAGCTGGTGACATAATTCCTGACATCCAAATTGTCCAAAGAACCATTCTTGACCGATTTGGCGTGAAGGGTATCAGGCAGTGATTCGTTTGGCAAATCACCCACCGCACGAAATTGGTACCACCCATAGTGTTGGAACCTCTGAAACTCAAAATGGTTGTTGGTGTTTGTAACATAAGTGGGCTTCAAAACTGAACTAGAGCTGATGTATTTGGTGTTGAGACAAGTCCATCTCATTTTAGCTCCTAATTCCGATGGAAAGATGAGTTTGACATGCTAATGAGGTCAGCTTGGGAAATGAAAGATGAAAGTTGAGGGTTTTGGCTATTTGGCAGGTAGGACACGAAACAGATGCAAAGTCATCTGAATTCTCAATTGCATTAATAATGCCAGTGTCAATTGACCATCGTCGGTTGTTCCCGCCGTAAGTTAACGACTTAGGTGAGTATAAAAATTGATCAAAGAAATCAATCTCACAAACCCTCATGAATGAACGAACTCACTCTCTTTCTGCCAAATCAGTTAAAACTCGCTTCATTGTCCGCTAATTGAATGGTAAGGGGATAAAAAAAAATGAATGGTAACATTAAACTCATCCTAGGTGTTCTTTTGCCTTGGTGTTATGCATTTGGCATAACAATGGGTCGATATAAATGATTTCGCAAACTTTTTTGTTTCTTTTCAAATGGCTACAATGCAAGTGGAGTGGGGAGGAAAGCAATCAATATCTCTATATACTAACATATTACAAACGAATAAGAATGATCTGTTATAACCGAGTATCATACTCTACTATGTGAAGGAATCCCAAGACGAAGAAAAAAAGAAAGAAAAAGGAAGCAGAAAACGCAAAAACAAAATGTATAGAGCATTTGAAAGCTCTTAAAGAATCAGGTTAGCCTAGAGTATCATACAGTTCACTCTTATAGAGGAGGATAAAAATATGATGATATGGAGAAGCATAGAAAGAGCAAGCCTCCAACCGTAGCAACAGTGCGTTGGGAGATTTTGGATGCCAGCATGCTCCCTCCCACCACAGCCACAGACGTGCAGATGGTGTGCCCTAGTGTCGCACCTACCGCAACTCCGAGTGCATTCTTGTGGGTTGCCAGCTGTGAGGTCAAAAGGAAGCAACAAATAAATTCATCTCATTCCCAGAGGAAAAAGCCTTCACAAAATATAACATGAACTATGACAACAGGGGAGGGAGGAATGTTTTCTCTTACAGCAATTGTCGCTATTTGGCTACGATCTCCCCACTCAGCTAAAAACGTTAGAATGAATGACTGCAACAGCAAACAGAATAAATTAGTTATGGAGGCTATATCACAAGACTTCAAAATTACAGCTAAAAGTTCTAAGTTGTATGAGTTGATTCTCAATATGACTAGCTATAGAATAAGATATGGATCATATTTGCTACAACTACAAGCATGATGTGTATGCAGCATATATGGGTTATAGGTGCTACAAGTAAAGGTCCCGACTAAATCTATAATTAACAAAAAGAAAAGAAACCAAATCATTAAAATAAGTACAACGCAACAGTCATACCTCCAAAAAGATTGGTGTACAAAATCTGGAAAAGAAACGGCGGAAGGTTGTTTTCCCCTGTCCAGACTCAAGTTTCTCTTCTACCTGGATATATTGGGTGTCAACCAAATTTAAACAATTAAAACACCAAATTAGACTAATCGAGGGACAACATTCAAGTTGAAAGCACATATATGCTATTGGCACATCATACAAAAAGTGATCAGACATCAGGAATAATATAGGCAATCAATATAGAACAACAAATGTGAATTCTAAGAGACGAAGTCAACTTCTCCTAAACACCTAGTGCTTTCACATTCCTCAGCAGGAATAACAGAGGTGAAGGAGAATAAGTATATCTGATACCTACATGGTTAACCCAACCAAAACCAATTACACTAATAAGTTCAAAAGATAAGACAACCATTTACCCAATTTCATTACTAATGCAGGCATCAAGCATTGTTTGTTAGTTTACCATCTGTCTCTCTATAGATAATAAATTTAAAAAAATCAGGAAAAGGCTAATAATGTGCAAACATATCATAAACGAGTCAAAAACTGTGACAGAATATGAAATTGTTATTTTTGAAAATAAAAAGAAACTTACTTCTTCCATTTCTTTCTTCTGGGACGATTTTGGATCTGATCTCCAAGCAATGTAAAGTAAACGCAGCCCAAAAAATAAATAAAGAACTGCGAAAAAAAAATTACAATACTTGAGGTACTATCAACAAAAACCGTAGAATTTCATAAGCCACCATAGGAAAAACATAGAGAATAAAATGAAGCCTTAAAGACTAGACAAAATACAAGAGTGACCAATACAAAATTACAAGAATCACGGCTGTTAAATAAACAGGGAATCTTAAAGAACAGTTGCAACAAATCTATTAAAAAATGTACATATCAGAGAGACAAATAAAGAGAAGGGAAAAAAACACCTTGAAGCAAGGCCATGCATCTGTTGCCCAAAAAATTATGGAAATCAAATTCTCAGAAAATCTTAGTGGTCAAGTAACAAAAAAAAAACATATTTACCTGTAGCTGCACTATTTGTATGCTTCCTTGATATCAAGTTCGGCACAATCCTACCAAGTCCAGTGGAAAGTACCTAATTGACACGTACAACAACTTAAATCTTGATTACATCCACAATAAGAAATAGCACTTCGCAGTTTCTGAACCATTCCATTTCAAAACCATGCAAACAGATTGCATATTAGAACCACAAAAATAAAGCAGAGATGTTAAAGGGAAAATGTTATTATACTTGTGCTATAATAGAAACAGAGAATTGGATAACTTACCGTCATTATAACCAAGGCGGTGAGTGCACCAGATAGGACAATTGACCTGGGGTGACGCATTGCCATAAGAGCTGCTATTATAAATGTTTCATCTCCGATCTGGTAGCATTTTTGTCAATTAGAAGAAAATTAGTTTAATCAATATACCTCTGCCTTGTAAACAGAGTCAAAACCTATCAAAACGCTTGACTTGGTTTCAAGTTTTCAAGTTTATTCCCTTTTTTTTTTATGGGATCACTAATTACTAACTGAAAAAATATGCAAGAATCTCTAGTAATCGACCATAAGCTTCAAAGTAGAATTTGTGTAAACAATGCCAGGAATTTTGTGCAAACAATGCCAGGAATTTTGTGCACAAACCTCACTGACTAGTATCATTGACAAGCTTGCTATAAAGGCATCGAAAATTCCAAGACCGGAGTCCACATTGAGACCAAGAGCAACTGCATCAACCTCGTTCTTGCGTCCAAGAGCATTAACTTCAAGAAAGCCCAAATTAATCTGTACAAACAAATTAATATATATAAATATCGACAAGTAAAATCAAAGAACAAGATACTAAATCTTCCATTTAAACCAAATACTTTTTGTGTGCATAATAGCACCAAAATCAATTTAATTGCGACTGAATTTCAGACCTACAAATAAAGCTCCACTTCAAAATTGCTGTTTCCAAATTTCTGAATCGTCAAACTATAAATCAAATCAAATAATAAACTTATTTTACACAATACTACCTAATTCGATGAAAAATACAATTGAATAATATACAAGCTACCAACTCACACTCTAACCAGTTGATGAAGCATCACATTGTAACTTGCATACAATCAGATAAGAAAAAGATGATGCATCAGATTAGTGGTTGTTAGAAAACGTTTCTTTGTCTTCATTTCTCCTAAATTTTCTCAGCAACCAAACAGATTGTAAAATGAGAAAGAGAGATGATTGTCGTCAAACCTTGCTACGACGGCCGAGATCTCTGGATCCACTAGAGTCTCCCCTCTCAGCTTCAACCCCAGACTCCTAATCATCGAACAAATTATCACAATTAAATCACATATATATAAACACACGCAATATGCATAGAGAGAGAGAGAGAGAGAGCTACCTGAGCAGAAACGGTAAAGATGAGTAGCACAATGAGGGGGAGAGCATACGCAAATGTTCTAGGAATTGAGCGAAAACCCATGACGGCAGGAATTAGAAGGTCTGAAACTCTGATGGGTAGACGATGGAATCAGAGAGAAAAGTTAAGGGGGAATTTCTCGGGAAATTGGATCTGAATCCAAAAAAGAGTCTCCTCCTAGCTTAGTCCTTACTAAGATCCTACGCAAAGCCTATGGAAATTGGTGATGAGATCTGAGAGATCTTTGCTAATCAGCGAAGATCTCTAGAAGGTGGAGTATGAGCGGTTCACATATTAAAATGGTGGAGAGACGAGTCTGAAAGTGTGAAAGGGGAAAGGTTTGACCCAAGTAAAGTAACAACGACAGAGAAAACCAAAAACAAGAAAGTAAAAATAAAAATGTATACGCGTCAAATAACTCATTTCCTTTCTTTTATGTTGAATGAAATAAATTTATATAAAAAAAATTGTACATGTAATAAAGAAATACAATGAAAGATGACATGTACAAAAAAAAAAACGAAATGGATAGTTGGATTGAGTTTATAGCAAATTATAAACTATGAAAATCGCGGCGACTAAATTGAAGCAATGCAGTTTGGTTCAGTTTTAAAATGGTTTTGACGTTTTGATGGTGAAAATCAACCAAATTGCTAATCACAATTTACGGTATTTGGTTAGTTTGATGCCCGCTCCTAATTTCGGATGAGTTTCACTTAGGTGAAATGGCTTGGTTGAAGTTGTAGATAAAGCATGTGCTTGGTCACATTTGTTGTATTCTCGATTTGAACCAAGTAATTGAGGGAGCTTAGATCTAAAACACACAATCCTCTTGCAACCAACCAAGTAACGTTTATTAGATTATTACGCGCATATGTAGATAAAGCATGTCAAACACACACAAAATATGTGTGTAAGAAGCATATGTAAGTTATAACGCATATGCAAGTTATGATAGCAAATTATACAAAAGGCTCAAACTATTTCTCAAATTTTTAAAAAATTAGACAATACAATAAATAAGCTTTTAATCAACGAGATAAATTAAACTTGGAATATCTTCAAATATTGAGAAGAAAAGTATCACTGTATCAATAAAATATGATTCCAAATCTTAAACGAAAATATTGGCAACTTTCACTCTAATATTCTCTTTTGGACATTTTCTAATCTCCTTATGATAAGTGTCAATTTCCTTACACTCAAAACAAAAACAAAAATAGGGTTGAGGATTGGAAGTGGAATAATGGATGAATTAATGCAGCATCTATAGGGTAGAGGCTAGAGGCTAGAGGCAACCAAATTGGTAGAATAGAAGGTGTTGTTTGCTGCACCTGCGTAGAAAAAACGAAGGACAAATGGAAATCGTCCACATGTAGAGCTCTAATCCTCTCCTTTTGTCCCTCTCCGTCAGAAATGCCCCCCACAAGACCAAATCCAAAAGATTAAATAAAAGATGCGGATGCGTATGCGATGCGAGAGAGATAAAAAGGAAAGGGCGGTGAGGGCCCAAACCCAACCCAACCCCTTTCAACCCCCTTCCAACCAATCAACGTTGAGGTGAGGTGAGGACAATGCGTGCGAACTTCCGCCACTTTTAAATCATCAAAGCGAAGAAAGAGGCCCCCCGCTTCAAACGCCTTCATAAACCCCCCAACAGGTTCCTCGTGTTGCACTTGCACTTGCACTTACTCTTGCCTTGCCTTTGCCCTTGCTACCAAATCTTCTTTCTATTTTCACCCCGACTTTTATTATTTGTAGGCATCACCACGTCATACGTACATATGCATCTATTTTATTATGTACTAAACTTTAGTTCTATCTATATAATTTAATTCATTATTTATTCGTCAGCATGAAGTAAGTATCCTTCTTTAAACCAATAATGCAAATTTAAAGGTGTACAATTTCGCACTACATAGAAACAAATTAGAACCACACTCAAAAAAGTAATTTACTCCATTGCATGCATAAAACTGGGAATTTTTGAATAACTAAGAACTGCCATCTACATCTCCACACTCAAAAAAGTAATTTACTCCATTGCATGCATAAAACTGGGAATTTTTGACATCATGCTTTGCACAGCACTGCCATCTACATCTGGTGGTTGAATAACTAAGAAAATATTACCTATTAATAGATGCCCAAAATATTAAAAAGTTTTTTTTCAAGTTTGCTAATGTCAACTTAATTATTCTTATTGAGAGGGGCGATAATGTATTAAATTTACACACACTACATGAGTATTATGACTCAAGTTCAGAACCTTACATGGAGGAGCAATTACTCCAAACAACTATACTAATAGTAGGTCCTTTGATTTTCCCTTTTTTTAAACGTTGGAAACTTATAGTAAAGAAGGCTGGTTGCCTTTTTTTTTTTCTTTTCTGTTTTTTTCTATTTCCATTGTGTGATGTCACTTGGTTTTGAAGCTGGAAATGAGGTGGAAAACCAGAAGCTTTACTCATGTAAAGCTTTGTGTTCTTCGTGGCATATAAATATCAAGGGGAGGGACCTGCCCAATCAAAACTCATGCATCGACTATGGATCAATACTATTGACTATTTATATCCACTTTTATTTATTTATTAAAATAGTAAAATTTCAACAATTCCTGTTTAATATATTATATGTTTAGAATTGAATATGTGGCGTCCTTTTAATATATTTCCAACAAAAGTAAAACCTCCCCATTAATAATAATATATACTGATTACTAGTAAGATAACGATTATTTTTATAAGAAAAGCACATAATTAATAAACGAAATTTGGGAGAGGGAGCAGATACTGGAAAATGTAAAGAAATAAGCTGGAAATAGTAAAAGAGGTTATAAGAAGCGGTCCGAGTTTCTGGTATCCGGTTTGGTGTAGCGCATATTCGCAGCCCGTGAAGCGGGACCTACTCGCTGCGTAAGTCGACCACGTGTCGAATAAAAATTTAGTTTAGGCATTGACGTTGAACATAAAGCTCAAGTAGCAATAAGCAAGGCGAAAAGGTAAGGAGGAGGAGCACGCGTGGCTTAGAGGGAGCGAGTGTAGCAGAGGATTCAGTCGCGGGGTGGGAAGAATGTGGGGTTGGTCCGTTTATTTCCAAAACGCGGGTGAAAAAGCTGTCTGGTTGAGAGATGGTTGGTTTTTATTCCTCTCCTCGTTTGTGGAGAGGAGAACACACCGCTCTCTCTCTTCTCTGGTTCTTCTTTCTTTCTCTTTCTCTCTGTCTATCTCTCTCATCATCAAATCAGACTCTCCTAAAACAACTTTCTCTCTCCCTTCCTAAAAGTTTCTCTCTCTAGAAACTGTTATTCTTGTTAATTTGGCTCTGTTTTTGTTTGGTGGTCTTGGATTGGTTGCTCGGGTTTTGTCTGGTTTAGATAGAGGGACAGAGAGAGGGATAGTGTCTGATCGTTGAGGGGATTTGGCTAGAGTTACAACAGGTGGGTGGGGGGAGGGTGAGTGAATGAATGGGAATTCCGGTCGGCTTTGCTAGAGTGACGACGTGGTGGTGGTTGTTGTGACTCACTGACTCACTGACTGGCTGACCGCCGTCCTTCTGGAGCAGCCATCTCATGGACTTCGATGCCGGAATTCCCATGTCTCGTGCTGCCGCGCCCGTTACCGACGCTCCGTCACTGTCACCCTCCATGACCCAAGGTCTCCTTTTAAACTCTTTATCTGCACCTCAACATTGTCTTTACTTCTTGTCATTGTTTTCTCTGTTTATGTTTCTCTTGTTTTCCCATTGTTTCCTTGTTTCTCAATCACGATGGCTGCCTCTTCTCATCTGAATTGTCCGTTTTGCCCCTTCCTTTACTCGATTCAGATATGACCAATGCTTCATATCTTATTTAACCAAGTCAATTTCGATCCCCGGCGGCATGAATTTGCATTCTTCTCTTGATTTGAGACCATACCTTATTTTTAATTAATTAATTATTTGTGTTTCTCAAATGTGGTTATTTTGCTTCTTCTTTTTTTGGTATGCGAATTTGTTGCTTTCGTGCTTTGAATTTTTGTAATGTGCTGTATAGCCTGCTATCTATGGAATTTGGAGTTGTCAATAATGGACGTTTTAGCTATCCCGTGACATTTCAAACATGGAAAGTTTTTTAGTACAAAATTGTAAGGAGGGGCCTCATCACAAAACCAATTTAGATGAAATGTGATCTTCTGCTATTCGGCTTTCAGGAACTGTCTTCCTTCAAAGCTTTTTAGATAATCTCTGTCACTGAATTTCCCAAACATATAAGCTTTGGCATTGTTTTTTAAGCTGCAAGCAGTGAATTTAACTGCAGCTTCAAGGCAGAATTTCTTCATTTACTTATCTTCTTTTAAGTCTCTAAGTAAATAGGAACAGAACGCATAGGATGTGGGCTCATTGAAAATGAACCTTTCATTTACATTTCGATAAGTTTTTATTGATACAATGTAATGAACTTACTCATAATACATCATTTTCAGATGCAATGTGGCAAATGAATTTGAGATCAAGTGAAACACTGGATCCTGGGTCCTATCCCGAGCGTACCGGAGAGCCAGATTGTTCTTATTACATCAGAACAGGCCTTTGTAGATTTGGAGCAACATGTCGCTTTAATCATCCTCCTAACCGGAAGCTGGTATAGTTAAACCATGTTTAGATAAAATTTCATGAACTCAGGTTTAATGTGATATTCTTTTAACCATTCTTGAATGCACAAGGGTAGTATACTTCATGCTACTGTATCTTATATTGAATCTTTTTCTCTTGTAGCTTGGTTCTAATGTTTTATGTTTTCATGAATTTGTTATTTTTAATTATATATATAACAAGCTGCTGTTTTTTACCAGGCTATTGCCACTGCAAGGATGAAGGGTGAGTTCCCAGAAAGAATTGGACAACCTGAATGTCAGGCATGTATCTCTGTCAAAGTGTGGTGTTTGTGACATAGTAATATTCCTTTAAATCTTAATGTGCTGTGATTCTTGTCAAATTTGGTTCTGGTGACATACTAATAATCTTTGTTGAACTGCCCTCCAGTACTACCTGAAGACAGGAACTTGCAAGTTTGGAGCAACATGCAAGTTTCATCATCCGAGAGACAAAGCAGGAATTGCTGGAAGAGTTGCCTTAAATATCTTAGGCTATCCACTTCGACCGGTTCGCTTTTCTGTTTTCCTCTCTCTCATTGCGACTTGACTTGACTTTCATCTCTTTGTTTCATTTTTGTTTGAGAAATATTGTAGACCTGCAAATGTCTATCTGATTTGCAGATGTCTCTGTGCATCTTAGTTTATACATTTCTTAACTTTATATTCTTTCTTTTAGCAGAATGAGATTGAATGTGCTTATTATTTGCGAACTGGGCAATGCAAGTTCGGAAGCACTTGTAAATACCACCATCCACAACC